AATGGTTCATTTATATAAATTTTATATAATTTCAGCGTTAAACTCGAACGTATCGATGGGATTATTGGTGAATCAACTGAAACGAACAATGCATTGGGTGATTCGATTTCGCACTGTTCAAATCTTCAAGTGATCGACCAAAAAATTATCAAATGGCAGGAAAAAATTTACCCGCCTGTATACAATATTTAACTCTTTTAAACAAAAATATTCTTCTTAGAGTTTCAAAAATTGCATTTCATAGTTCATTTTACTAAATTCATTAGATGATTAATTCATGCAGACAATTTTGTAGTAGCCATTTCTTCACCATTTCTTCTGGTTAGACTCACTTCGCTGGCTTATAAGATTAGATTATACTACACTAAATATACTAGGAGAGTTCCTTGACGATAGGTAGAAGTACAGAGGTAAATCGTCAGCATCAGCCAGATTTTTGAAGGGCAGATTAATGCCCGCTGGGAATGAAAAAGCAAAAATCCAGTATCGGCATTCCGGCATTCTGAAAGCAACATCCCACTACAATTTATCTCAGCAATCAATTAATATAGCGTAAATATCTCAAATTCATTAAAAATTTATTATAATATTAATTAAAAAATTTGTAATAAAACATGTTGAAAGGAGATAATTGATGGAAATATAACATAATTTTCAAAATATATAAAAAATATAAAATAAATATACAAATATAATAAAATTGTTAAATTTAACGAAAATTTAGAGAAAGATGAAAGATTTTCAACAATGAATGCAAAAATGCTTATTTATTATGCTATTATTTAAGTTAAAAGGCAGCGAAACGAGATGAAATCTATTCATAGAACCAAACGACAAAATTCTAGAATTTGAATAATATTTATTGTCATCACTGATAAACTCACTGATAGACTGATAGACTATAAGAAATAATATATAGCAAACTAGTCAGCAAAATAAATAAATAGTTAAATAAATAAATAAAAAATAAATAAATAAAGCCAAAGCCTTTGGCTTTCCTCTTGAAATTTTTTAGTTATGTTACTTAATGATAAAAATTTTATAATTTTATTAACATAAAGATAGTCGAAAAAATCTTTAGGATCGATATGGCTGCACATATATTGTACATTAGCTTAGATTATTATTTCTAGCCATCCTTCCATAGCAACAAAAAAAGCCTATAATTAAAAATTTCGAGTGGTACTGGGGACTTATCTTATTTCCTCAAGTAACGCTCTAGCAAGAATTGTCTTATCCTACAATGCTAGTCAATAGCTTTGATGATCCAAAGAAATGAAAGATAGACGAGTGATTGGCGTGGTGTCAAAAAATCTTACATTCGCTTCCATGTCTACAAGCTTCCATCAAAAAATCTGCGTAATGCTGGCGGTCAATCTGCACTTCTATCGCCAAATGTTTTTTTAGCAAAAATTTCTAGTAGCACTAAATTAGCCATTTAATCAGCAATTCATTTCAGGGTGGTGGCAGCCAATGCATTTTGGATTCAGCGTCTTCTTCAAAGTATGCCCTTCGTTTATTAATCTCATGCATATAAATCAAACATCCCAAAAAAATCATGAAGCCAGTAATCTGATAGACTTACACCTTCACTTCCGTTTCTTTTCTATGCTTTCCGTTTTCTACATGCGAATCTTAATTTGTTTCAGAGTTTCAACTGAAAAGCGGCGAATTTTTACCTATATAAACGATGAGCATCCGCCAAATTATGTCGAAGTTAGCGATTAAACTTATCGAATTTAATATTTATCCATCGAAAAAATGTTTTATATAATTACGAAACTGCACAATATTACTTAAATTTTAAAAATTATTTAAATTATTTATTTAAAAAAAACTTTTCATTTTCATATTTATAATTTTAAACAACTAAAAAATAAGAAATAAATTCTCTAAAGAAAATGTAACGAGAATGAGAAATTTAAAGAAAAAAAAACGATGTGAACTAATATCAATGAAATAAATATATTAAAATTTTATATTGAATTTCACAAGATTTATCAAATTCGATAAGATTTTCTTCAAATAATTCAATTAATTCAATAATATTTGAAATATGGGAAAAAATTTATGAAATATGATTTAACAAAAAAATAATCATTTTGTCAAAAAAAGATCTCCGTTTTTTCAAGAATTTCAATTTTTATTTGAGGCGAATGAATCAACGACATTTAACGTCGACGATAAAAATGTGAACAAAGTTTTCGAACAAATAGTGCATTCCAGATTACGGCGAATTGATCCGATATGGTTTGCCTCATTTATACAATATTATCTTTAATCGTTATTACGCAATAAACATAACGATTTTACAAGTATACGATATTTTTTAGTGGTACTATATAATATTTCACATCTAAGTGGTACTATATAATATTTCACAGGATATCGCATCTCTTAAGTGGTACTATATAATATTTCGCATTGCAAAATAAGGTAGAAGCCTGCATTTCCTACCAGCTTCCCTATGTTTCACCATTACCGTATAATAATTATAGTTAGTTTTATGACAAAGATCCGTAAAGCGAAACAACTTTAAAAAAACTATCAACCTAATGATTTTTATGCTATTCTGGTATATTATCAAGTCGCTTGAGACAATATTGATATTACAGTGGACAAAGACGAAAGCTGATAATAGATCTTCCTGGGAAAAAGCATCAACAAAGAGCAAGAGGAATTTATAACCAAGCGGAAACGATGTACATAATGGCATATGTGGGAATACTCGATGAAAGCACGTATGTACTTAGAAGCACTTTCCGAAACTTGAAAGTGAGTAATTAAAAGGAAAAAAAGGAACTTCTTTCCTCATCAGCAATTAATTTCCTTTTAACAGTTCGTGGAAGAAAATGCCAACATCGATGTCAATATTCATTCATTTTCCTTGCATTTTTATCTATTTATATCGCCTGATTTTTGCAGTAAACATATTTATTTTCAAATAAAATTTACGACAAATAAAGCAATTTTATTATTTGTCATTCGATTTTGGTGCAAATTCCGTTGAAATCGCAAAGACTTATTAATAAAATAATCTAGTAAATCGACTAATTTAGGCAGAAATATTCGCAAACTTGATTTTAGCGTTCTAAGATTTATTTTCCAAACTATTTTATTGCGACGTCGTTTTAGTGAGTTGAATGCGAGCGACACTGATCAACGAGCGATTTGCAAAATTACGGCATTCAACGATAAAACGATTATTGTCGAACCGGATGCATTTTCACAAAAAATTCGCCTAGAAGGTGCATCAGGAATTTATTATGGAAGTATTTCAACCGATGGTGGTGATTTCGACGAAATGCCATTAAGTGATGGAATATCAAATGTTGATTTTTTAACTTTTATAATAAGCAAAACATGCTCTTCTTTATTCTTTAGAAATACTTATTACTTATTAATTACTTATTACTTATTAATTAATTTTAATTACTTATTAATATATTTTATATTTTAAAAAATAGAAAAAATAAGTCAATTATTATTGGCTTAAACCATCTTTTTTAATAGATTTGATTGATTATTCCCAAAGAAAATAATGAAAATAAAAAAAAAGGTGATAACTGACAATTTTTCATTAAAGAAATTTTGATAAAGATTTTGATAAAGAAGCGTGATAAGATGATAATGGAATATAAAATTAAAAATTTTATAGTTGAATTTTCAGATTTTGTCTCCAATCGAAGAATTTCCGATTTCAGATATTCAAGCCGATGACGCTCGAAAATGCATCTATTTGATACAAATTAGTAAGGATTTTTTCAAATATATCATTTTCCTATATTATTTCGTTATTTCGTCAATATTAAATATTATAAATGTTGCTAAATATTATTATATTATTAAATATTATTTTATATAATATTATATTATTAAATATTATTTCGTGAGAATTTTTAAAATGAAATGAAATATAAAAATAAAAAGAAATAGAATAAACCAGTCGAATTTGTTTAAATCAAATGGGATTTTTTTCCAAATTTTTAAATTTTTAAGATTTTCGGCATTTTTTATAGGTTCAATAATATTTCTAGTTAAAAATCAGTTAGATTTTCTCAAATTCCCCAGCTGAGATATTATTGTTCTGCGGAATGTCAGCAAATATTTTGCAAAAAATTTGTCCCTCAATTTTTTTTTATTATATTCAAAATAATAAAAATCTAAGGCATACAAAAAATAATTTTTATACGTAAATAATATATTGCAATGATTTCATCTAAATAAATATTTGAGAAATAGAGTTGGTTTGTTTTTGAAGCCAAATAGCCCACAAGCTGAATTCATTTTAAGTATTCCTTAATCGCATTGCAATTCGTAAAGTGTTCCGCTGGTACTTTGCTAGGATAAATAGTAATTTGGACGATGCTAATTGGGCTTAAAAGTCGCATGTCGCATTAGATTTACCTTTCGGTTTTTTTCTTTCATAGGTTTTCTCTCTAAGCTATTTAATATGATAAAAGAATAAACTTTTATGTTTAAGGAATTTATATATCGAACATTATATATATATAATTATAAATATTCCAAATATATTTTATATTATAGTAATGTTATAGATAAATTTTACTTGTGCTTCCTTAGGCCATGCAAATTGCCTTAGGCAATATTTAAAACAAAAGGTTAATTAATTAAGCATGAAAAGTGGAAAATTTAAGAGAATTTCATCTATTTTTTTCATTATGAAATCAAGAGATAGCGAAATATTAGCTGAATATTTGACTTCGATCTTTTGCGAAACTAATGTCTGGTTCAATTGAAATAGCACCAATCCACAGCGAACTCCTTGCTTTATTGCATGGCGCAGGATATTAGTTTTCGGGGGGCTGCGGGTTGTGGTCACCTCTGCTGCGGACAAACGACGACAAATGCAGTTTATACACAACATTTCATAAGATAACATGAATCGAGGTAGCAAGCATCATTTATTGCAAAATTTTTTAGCCATGGCAATTAATTGCTTTCTTAGGCTTAATTAATTCGTACTGTGATTGACTTGAAATTTATTTTTTTTCTTTTTCATTTTAGCACGAGGTTTCGATTTTCCGCATAATGGTTTATACGTCGAATATAAGTTCGAACTTCCAAGCCAATTTACTCTTATGGAAAATGAAAATGAAATAAAATCCACAAATATTTGCTATTCAAAAGAAGTTATTGTTTAAAAAATTAAATATTTTAATCGAAAACTTTTTAAATTTTAATTTTTAAATTTTTATCTAAATAAATAAATCTCAAATAAAATTCTAAAAATTTAAAATAAAAAATTTAAACTATAAAAAATATTTTTCTTGCATAAATTCATAAATTCGAAAAATAATTAGAAAAATAATAATAATAAAATAAAAATAAGAATAGAAAAATTAGGCGAAAAACGAAAAACGAAAATAAATAAAATTAAGCAAAAAATTTGTCATTTCAGTCTGTAACATATTTCTCACATATTTTTTCTGCATCAATCAAAAATACCGAAAATCCATTTGATGCAAAATTTTTCCTGCCTCGCCTTTTATTTCGCGTTTGTGCCGATGGTTATTGGGGAAAGTTTTACGTCGACGGTTATGCAGAATTATCGCTACCCACTTATCCTGGGAGGTGAATTTTAAATTGCTACCGTATAATCTAACCTCAGAACCAAAATTAAATATCACCTATATCGCTTATTTTTTCATGTAGACACAAATTCCTTGTCGATTGTTGGAGGCCAATTAATTCAAAAGATAGGCAATCAAAACTTTTCGATTATTTCATCGGCCAAGCCGTCGATCTCAAATCCATTGACTGCTGTGGAATAAACCAAACTATCAACTCAGAGGTACCAATTTAAAGCTTCGTTGTTTTCATTTATATTTAAAATAATGAAAATCTTTGCTAGAAATTGAGAATGTCACGAATCGGAATCGAAACGGAAACTTCTGGCCAACTCGAAATTATCATTGATTGTGCATTACAAGGATACGAATATTTGTCGAAAGAAATCCTCCAACAAATAAAATATGGAAAAATGATGAACAGAATCGGGTTAATGACTTTTTATTATTAAATCGTTATTTTTCCCAAAAATTTTATAACAATCACGACAGCCAGATAAAGAGAACTTTAATAATATATAATAAAAAAAAGGTTCAATTGAGTAATCAAGATATTTCAGGATTCATTCAAATATCCACTGGCATATATTGAGAGTGCTTTTGGAATTTGAAGAAGCCAAAAAACGCTTCGCAGAAATTCGAAATAAGCCTATTGAAAGGCCTAACATCTAAGAATTTATATTTACTCGTAAATTTAAAAACATCTTTCATATTTGTTATAAATTTCATTGCCTCCTAAATAAAGTGAAAATTTTCATCATTTAGCAGTAGCAAAATCGTCAGATCAGCAGCAATATATTGGGATCGCAAAGACCGAAAAAATCAAAGAACTATACAGAAATCATACAATATATTAAACTACATAACAATGGAGCCTTTACAATAAAATTATTAAAACAGTTGAAAAGTTAGTTCTTCAGTGAAAAGAAAATCACAGAGCTTTAAAAAATAATCCATATTTATTCCGATTTGACTTTATACCTCGTCCATTTAATTAATGTCTCCGGTGAACGGAATAAGAATATCAATTTTGCGAACAAATCCTAAAAAAACAAATCCTAAATGTTTTTTCCCATAATTCATAAAAAACTCAAATCACAAATAATAAAAGTAAAATGTGCGTAAAATGCATGAAAACTGACCTGCTCCAAAATAAAATCCTTAGCTTCACGAACTAAATAAATATCTTGACAGATTTTCAGCAAATAGTCTGGGTTAGGGATTTCAGAAATAATCACATCAAGTGGCCCATTCGTTACAATGCCACGAATTAACCGACCAACCAAAAGTACCACAGCCAGATACATGGCAATAATGCTAAAATGAAGCTTTTAAAATGGACTGAGAAAGAAAATTTCAGGAAATGAATGAATGAATAAATGAATGAATGTGAACTTATTAAACGTACCCTCCTTGAACATATTTCGTTATAAAAGTAGGAAATACTCGATCTACAAAAGCCACAAGTTGCAAATATTGCAAAGATCTGCTGGTTTCATATTTTATGTACTCCAGAGGTAATGTCAAAGACGAAGTCACATTTGATTGCTCTAGTTCTGCTACCCACAACATATCACGCTGCAAGAAAATTTGATCGTAATATAGGCAAAAAAACTACAAAGAAAATAAGTAAATCTAACCTCACTATTGCTCTTTAAACTAAGAAAAACATCCGAAAAAGTTTGATCAATACGGTCCAACATTGCGGAATTTTCCAATAAGGCTAATAAGGCTGGCGGTACTTTAAGTTCACCTTCATTAGGCACTATCACATAGGGCGAGAGTGCACGAGATAATTTAATCTAAAATATTTTTACTCAGCATTATAACAGTAGAAGACTCACCGAATGGAATAGAAGACTCATTGAATGGAATACAAAATGAAAAATACGCCGACTTTTTATTTAGTAAAATTATTAAAAAAAAGATAAGGGCAAAAAAAAGGGCAAGAAAATTGCCCATACTTTTAGAGTTGGATCACTTGTGTTCAAAACACGGATTAATTGTTCACGCACAGGAGATTTTGGTTCTAAGGGAATTTTTGTAGTACCAGAATGGATCAAAGGTTCTTTGGAGTCTCCACTACTCGGACGCTCGAATTCCATTCTGCAAAATGTAAAATTCATTATGTACCATTTCATATCATTCAACAAGAGCGGCGAAATTTTGAAAAAATTACAATGGATTTAAGTGAAATAACCCAGAAATCATTACTTGATTATGACATTGATTACATCAGCGCTTTCATTCAATTCGTACTTCATGGCAATTAAAGAATCACCAGAAATTGACCAATATTCTTGAGATTGCGGACGAAACCGAATTTTCTAAATTTTCTTTTTCAGTTTGATTATTCAATGATAAGGGGCTTGTATCAGTTATATAAAAATAAAAACATAAAATAATTTGATATGAAAAGCAATTATGACCAAACTCACTAATATATCAACAAGAGCGTATTCATTTATGAATGCAACGGCTTGACGAGCGCGAAGTATTGAATTTTGGTCAGATGAATTAAACCTTTCAGAAAAAGCATCTCGAATAAAAAAAAATTCATTTTCAGTTAAACGTTCGAGCTCCAATCCTTGTGCAACGATAGAATATAACGGCTATAGTAAATATCACCGTGAATTAAGCAGATATAAAAATAGCCAAAAATATGAAACAAGAAAAGCGATAATAATAAGATAATAAAAACATATATGAAAATTTAATACAAAAAAATAAAATAATAATTGAAAAGTTTTAAAATTACAGGGTAGCCTTCAACACTGATTTCTAACTGAACTTTGGTTGGTGACGAAGTCATTCCGATTCGATTCAATAAAGAGAACGCCAACAAAGGTAACCAGATTACGAGGATTAGAATAATGATCATAGGTATTCCCATAAAATGCTTGACGACGGGGCCTTTCGCCACGCCACGAGGAGCAGGAAACTTCTAGAAAAATTATTTCTGGAATTAATTAATAAGCAGTTTCAATAAAAACAATGAAGAGAAACATAAGGAAGAAGGAAAAATGAATGCATTATGTAAACTTATGTAAACCTGCTCAAACGTCCGTGCGCATTTCAAATTATATAAAGTAGCGTAAAAATTTTCCATATTAAAGAAATCGAATAAAGGCATCGAAGTATCTGTCCAAGTCCAGTCGATTGATGTACGAAGTTCAAAAAGAAAAGGCACTCCCATGAATCTTTAAAAAATCCATTGAAAATAATATAGAATTGACATATCGTAAGACCGATATCGAAAGAGACGTCAAAACTAACATTTTGAATAGGACCATGTTAGTGAGTCCATAAGCATGAGTAATCAAATTCCCTGTACATAGCACTGGATATCCGTTACGTATTTGCCATGCTGAGATTAGTAAATAAATACATTTAACAATATATAAAAATTGCGCGGTTCGATTTACCCAAGCAGCCCTAAAACATGAAATGCTCATATATTATTTTAAATTAGCCCAATAAAAAATACTGAAACAATTTTTTATAGAGGTTTATTAATAAGTATTCATATATTCATCTTATTTATTTATAAATAATGAAGAATGAAAATGAAAAATACTATGAAACTGTTCTACTGGAATTATACTAATCTGCCGAAATTTAAAAAATTTTGCATATTTAAATATTTATAATAAATTTAAACATATAAATATTTAAATATATTTTGGAGTTTAAAAATAAAAATAAACGCAAAAAAAGCAAATTAATTCCGCACTGAAATGTTATTGTGGGTAAAACAAAGAATATCCATATATGAAGAAATATGACAATAATAAACTGATAAATTAATTTGCAAATGACGGCTTTACGAAGATATAAAGCACGATCAACAACAATCATCAATGATATAACGATTAACATAACAACAAATGTCACTGGTACGCGATTTGACTGAAATAAGAAATATAATGAAAGAGGTTAAACGTAAAAATCCCCATAAAAACCGACATACTTATTTAAAATCCGATGAAAACAATGAAAAATGAAGATAATAAAAATTACGCTAATATCTTTGATAACACTGCCTGTTCCTCCATAACCAAACGACGAATAGCCAAATGAAACAATGAAAAAACAAATAACGTCCACGAAGAACATAAAAGGATAAAGATCACGAATGTAACGAAATTTCGTATGTAGAAGTGCGTAAAAAAATGAGGAAATAATTCCGCGATCCTTTTGAATGTCGCTTTCACCTAAAATCAAAAGCAAATATCATGAAGATAGAGAAAGCTTTAGAAAAATTAATAAAAATCATTAATAATTACCAGTCCCTGTACTAGCAGTTGGAGCCAAAATTTGAACTTCAGTTTTCTCATCATGCATATGCTGTTCTTTCTGAAATTACAAATTTTGAAGAGCTCACTGGGAAAATAAAAAAGTAAAAAGTGGTCGGTGCATTGATTTTCAACAGTAATTAGGCTTAAAATAAAACAATTATTCGCTCAGTGCTAATGTTAATATTATTCTTCCAAAAGTAAGACGATTAAATTAATAAATGTATTCCACAACTCTTGCGCCCTTTTAAAATAGATTCCTTCATAAATTACAAGGAAAACTGAAAAAGGCTAAGTCTTTATTTAGTCTTCTTAGTCTTTATTTAAAAAATTCTATGTTATCATAAAAACTTCACATCTTAATAAGTATTCCTTTAGTTAATATATCTGAATAATAAGAAATTATGAAAGCTTCTAAATAAAACTAAACTAAGATCCCATAACTCTTTATTTATACCATTTTTAATTAATTGAACAAACTAGCAAGTAATTTGTCGTATTTTTCTACTCTTTCTCGTTTCTAATTTTAGAAAAAACTGAGATAAGAAAATTAAAAATTTCAGAAAATTAAGAAAAAAACAAGAAAAAATTGTCGTCAATTTATTCATCAACAATTTTAATCTAAAAGAATTGTTTTTTGTATTTATATTTGTTATACAGTGTAAAAAGAATTTAATTTATTACAAACTCTTGTTTAATATTTCTGGCACTTACATATTTGTTTTATGGATTTATTTGTACTATCTGGTTACTATTTCACAGCAAATTAAGGAAAATAAATGAATCGATAATAAATAACAAACTTGATTATGATCGTTCGATAAATCCTGAGGAGTACCATTAGTTGAACTTTCCTCGGTAAATGTTATGGATATATTAGCATCTTTCCATAAACCAAATTTTCTTAACATATATCGATGAAAAAACAATGCTGAAAATTGGAAAGTTTAAAATAATTTCCAAAAAAAAAATTTGCTCTTTACTTTTTGGTCACTCACAGCAAATAAAAACAAATTACTAGCAAGCGATAAATAATATGGATTTTAAGATTCCTAGAAAAATAAGATAAATTAAAAGAATTAAAGAAAATGGAAATGATTAATTCTAACCAACAAGCAAAGCAATATCCCAAAAAGCATAGAATTCTTCTTTACGTATGCCGAGAATTCCTGGCCAATAATTAGGTGCATTTGCCATTCTGATCACAGTACCTGTATCATTCCATGGAAAGAAACCAAACTGACAAATAAATTTCACGATTACTGATAATTCAGTATATGCAATCATAACCACCTGAAAAAATAATGGAAAATTATTTAAAATTCCAATGTATAAGAAAACAATGAAAAAATTTCAGTGAAATTGTATTAACTGGTTAAATTTTGATATAAACGATATTGAAACTTCAAAAATATAGCAAACCCAAAATAATTTTGCTGGACGTGGATTTGCAAGTGATCCCCAAAAGAAGACAAGGAGCGGAAGCGGTAATGATAATAAGCCAGCAGATCGAGCATGATCAATTATGGCAAAAAAATAACAAAGAATATCTGTATTGGCAGCGATACAATATGCCAAGGCAGTAATAAAACGTGCAAAAACATTTCGCTGTTGCCAGTTATGCATAGCCTCTATTTCCAATCTGTAAAATGTAATAAAGGCATAAAAAATCATCCTTCGAGCAGAGAGTTTTTGTGATATGAATATCTACAAGATATTTGAGTTAAAAAATTTAAAAAACCAATTCAAATTTTTTAAATTTTAAAAAAATATATTAAAAATTTAAAAAATATAGACCAAAATCACTAACTATTCTAAAACATAAAAAAAATATACTAACAATGATTATAAGTACACTAAATTCAAAGCACAAAAAGTCAGCGAAACCTGTAGATATCTCCTTCACTCGATACACAATGCAAATTACTTTTTTCGAATTCTTCACGCAAAATTTGAAGCGGTTGAGTAATATCAACCAGAGGCTGAAAAAAATTGACAAAAAATTGCTAACCCATGATCCAATAATTTATTTGTTTTAGTTGAAAATTTTCTATGAATAAGATTATACAAGACTATACAAAGATAACCTCTTTCATCGTTTGCTTTAGGTTATTTTTCTCCTTTTCTAAAACATATGCCATGTAACGATGTTCACGAGAATTTCTATTTAGAAATGCAGCCAACCAACCAAGTACAGATACCACCATTTTTTGCAAGAAACGTAAAAGCGATAAGACGGTTCCACCTTTAAATTTAATCATAATCCAATCTAAAAGAAACTAAAGATTTTTGTCAACAGGATAAAATCTCAGCAATGTGCTTAAAACTTCTGCGACCTGAAGGTGCAATACTGAAATCGTGAAATATGTCTTAATTTACCAGAAATTGCATCTTTTTTCGACTCATCTGATTCAACAACTTCTTCACCATCCAAATCTATCTTAACCGAGCTTCCAGTATCAGTTACAGCTTTAATCATACGTTCTTCTTCGTCTTTTAATCGTTCAGCTTCTCGAACAGCTGTAAGTGTTTGCGCTATGTCAAGATCATGCTGTACTACCGTGTGCATTAGCTGAAAATAATAATGCCAAATTAGTTCACAAATTACGGAAAAATAAAATTTCAAATATCAACAATCGCAATTGTTACTTGAGCAGGATCCAGTTGATTAAAATCACTAGCACCAGGTGTTACTTCAGGAACAAAAGATTCCACGGGCTCAACAAGTTTATCCATAGTTGGATCATAATCAAACATATAATAATCGCCAGCTCGTTTCGCTGAAAGAGAAAAAATTATCTGATAAAAAAATAATGCCACCTTCATACCATATTCTTGATTTTCTGAATTCATCAGTACACTTCTGAGCATAAAAACACGCCACTCATGTTCCTACAGTTCTTTTACAAAAAAACAAATGAGAATCTAAAAGCTGCAAAAAATGCGAACTCAAGTCAGTTAGCAGTATTGAAATGATTTTCTATAATTCAGTAATTATATATGCAAAAAAGAAACAAATGGAAAAAAAATATCAACTTAAAATTCGTTAAAAAAAAGCAAAGGGTTTTAATAGAAGAAATTATAAGCACACAAAATAAATGAAAAATATAAACAGCAGTGGTCAAAATATTTCATGCGTTTTTTTAAAAACAAATTAAATCTTTTTAAATAAAAGATTTCGTTAAAAAACTATTAATACAACATGGAGTTTTTTTCAACCAAGATAAATTTGAAAAAATAGAAATAAAAAAATCAGCTAAAATGAATAAAAAATTCAGCTAAACAAATATATTGAATATAATTACTAATTATATAATTAACGTAAAATTATAAAAATTGAAAATTTAAATATATAAATAAATATATAACGAAAAAAACTAAGCCAATAGATATCCACAAAATCCACAAAAAAAATCTGGTGCGAAATTTAACAAAATTGATTGCTTATAGAACAAATCTGATAGAAAATATTAATAAAATGGATAATAACCTAGATTTCGAGCGAAGATCCAGTCAGTTTTGCAATATAATGAACTAAGAAATTAAATCCATTAAAATCAAAAAAAATTTTAAAGAAAAAATATTGGGTAGGCAGCAACTTATTATGAACATGCTTTTTTGGCATGCTATAATTGAAGCGCTCGGTGATCAGTGATTAGATCAACAAACCCGAAAGATTGCTGAGTCGACGAATATCATACCATTGGCAAGGATCGTCCTCATTCAGTGAAGCTCGCTCTGACGCCACAAAGGCTTTAAAAAATTGCCGACTTGCAATTCAGAAATACAAAAAACGTGAAAACGATTTTAAAAATCAAACCACCAAAAATAACCACAAAAAATTACAACATTTCAAAAAAAAAGGAAGAGATTGGCAAAAATCACAAAAAGATTCACACAAGACCATCTTCATCTAAATCTACTTTTGATCATTTATATCATTCAAGTTTATAAATGCATGAATTTTTTTAAAAATCAAAAAATTATTAGAATCATAAAACATTTTTTGAGAATAAAAATTGAAAAATTTGAATAAACATCAACAAATTTATAAGAACTATAAATTCACCTACAATTTCTTCAAGAAGGAACAAATCAAATAGTAAATATTTCAGAGAACATAAAAAATACAAACCTTGGGCGTATGTTTGCGGTGTGAATGCACTTACTGTGCTTAATTTCTGTTGTTCTTCATAAGTTTTACGAATAAGTGCTGTACGATTCTTTATATCATTAAACTTCTTTCTTTGGTGAGCGTTTTGCTCTTTCATTTCTTTTTCAATAAGCTGATTTTTTAAAACAGCCCCTCTGAAGATTGTCATTCATTATAAAAAAATTGCAATATCTTTGAATAAGTCAATTTTTGTGAAATTTGAATACCAAATAAATTAATAAAATTGCTTAAAAAAATTATTACCGATTCATTAATACAGCTTCGGACCGATATTCAAGAATACAATGCTGAAAGTACCAAGAATGCAAGATTCTTATTTGGAATATAAGAAATGCAAAAGCCAGAGTATCGAAACCAATTTTGGTTTCTGACTTTTGTACAACACATGTATTATCGAATTCCAGTTCTAAAAAATATAATATTCATAAATTTTCCAATATTGAAACGAGATTTTAAGATCTTAGCAACGAAACCCCTTAGAGAAGCAGTGAAGGCTTAAATGATCTAATGAAGAGAAAAAGGTATAAAACATGCAAAAAATATAAAAGATGAAGAAATAAAAGGTTTACGATCAGGAAAATAATATTTCTCGGTAGAATCTTCATTGACACATACAATACTGAGCAGCTGGCGAATATAACAAAGATTTGCATCTTTTAGAAGATGAATATAAACACAGCCCATTATCTTAAGCATTTGGTAAAAATAAGAATTTTAGAAAAAAAATTTTTAAAATTGTTAAACTTTTGAAATGGAAGAACGCATAAATGTCAAATGATAAAATGCAGAAGAAAAATCTACAAATAAATATTTTATTAATGAACTAACTTGCAATGCTACTTTACAAAACATTACGAAAACAGTATACAATAACACTGTATTCCAACGTTTCATAGTTCTTGCGTAATTTCGCATAATATATAAATTAGTTCCTTGCCAAAGAGTCCAAAAAGCAAGGATTATATAACCTAGAGCAAAAAGAGAGACACCACCCAGACCTGCTGCTAATACCATAATAAGGGTGATCCAGTGGCCATAGAAAAATATAGCTATTTTCAGAAAATCAACAAAGCTTCTGAAATTTTTGAAATAATATTCAAAAAATTCTTACATGATTTATTTTTATTATCCTTTATTTAAAACTTTTTCTGAAAAGAATTATAAAACCTTGATTGGCTTTATTTTCTCACCTCTGATCAATAAGAAAATCATATCGTGGGTTTTCAGTGAACAATTTGTATTCTCCACCCTTATATATGCTTTTATTGTCACCCGCAGGATGTGCAGAATTTTCAGCACGGAACGCACTTTCCTTAAATATTCTAAATAATCTATTGGAAATATTTGAAACTTTCATATAAGAGAAAAAATGCAATTTGCAAAATTTCAAAAAAAAGTTTTCAAGAAAATAACCAAGAAAAAAGCCCAAACATTCCAACCTGACAGGCAACCATAAGCAAAAGGACAAAATCAGCGATCGAATGACTTGCAACGGATTTCACTCGATAACTGGCCAAATCTAACCATGCAATTAAGTTATCATTTTGAACTACATTGGCTAACCATTGACTCCACGGATATTCTGCAAGGATAAGTCAAATTGAAAAAAATGAAGCAATTGATTAAACGCAAATTGAAAAACTCCTGGATTTTCCGATGTCCTTTTATTCACAAAATATATTTATAGAATAAACGAATTAAAAATTCAAAAATCACCGATACACAGTGGAGGTGGAAGTCCGACATATAACGCGTACTGTAAGGGGAATAATATGGCCAAATAAAGCAAAAAAATGGGCCACAATTTTCGGCATATTACACGTGGTGAAAGAGTGAAGATAAACAGCCAAACAAGTAAGAGGGTGCCTTGCAAATCCATTCGGATCCAAGCAACAATAACCATCATAATTAAAGATATCTATAAATAAAGTAAATAGAACCCGTAAAACCTACAAATGAAAAGATATACAATGGAAATTTCTAATCATTTTTATTATGCCATATTTTCCAAACTCCGACCAGTCGTATAAAACCCTTTCAGAAAGATTTTTATTTCAAAATAACCTCAAATCCAAATTTGTAAAAGCAATAATTGGCTAGAAATTTCAATAAATTCGTAAGACTGGAATCCCACTGCGCAGCATCAGCATCTTGAAATATGATTCCACGAGGGGGTGTTCCTATCCCTCTTAAAGCACGAATATGCCGTTGTCGATAATAAACGATTGCTTGAAAAGCAATCGCAATCATAGCAATTAAAAATCCCTGAAACGCAAAAATCAAAATAAATCTAATTATAATTCGAGAAAACAATCAGAAGTATAATTCGTAGAAATATAATTTATGAAAAAAAAAGCAAAAAAAGAATAAAATTGCAAAAATTGCAACGGATTACTAGCAAATATATTCCTATACTAGAATGGAATTTCTGGAATCCAAGCCAATGAAAATAACTCGCAGGAATTTGAAAATCTTCTGGCTTGCATTTATCAAATTGTTGTATTGTTTCTGTGGCATTATCGATAGCGAAATGCATCTGAATTAATTAAAATTTAGCAAAATTAATAGCGAAAAGAACTTCGCTAGAACATTTCTGAATTATGATCGAAAAATTTTTTTTGAACAAAAAATGAAAAAACTTCAAAATAATAAAACTAAAAACTAAACTAAAAGAAAAACTGGAAAGAAAATATATAAAAAAAGAAACAATATGGAAATTTTACCTGATAGAGCATTCTTGCTATAGCGAAAATTGAAAAATAAACACAGGCAAATAATGAAATTAAAAATGAAATAAGAGGCATAGAAGCTGCCAAACTGACCAATATAACTAAAACCAAGTTTAATGCACATATCTGAAATTTTATACACTGCACAAAACATATAGATAAATCACAAAAACATTACTTTCCTACTAGAGGACATCTCCAATAACATTTCCATTTTTCAAACAAAAATCATTTTGGAAAATCCTATCAGATCCTTTCGTTTTTTTTTTTTTTTAAACCACTTTATCAATAACTTATAGATATTTTACAACTGTTTAAACAAAATGCAACTGAAAACGCAAAAATAATAGATTAATAAAACATATTGCAGTTCTCATAACTCTCTCATATGAAAAGTTTTACTTTTTGTATTGAGATTTTTATTCAATTTTAACAACAACGCCCCTAACAATAAATTTAACACTAAGGACAAAAAATATTAAAATATAAAAACTAACATCATTGACAGCAATAAGCGTTAGAATAAGTAGAATTAATTTCGACAGATGTACTTCAGCAAATCTCCATAAAATTTCTTTACTCGCTTCTAACAGTAATAAAAATTTCGACGAGACAGTTTTCATTTGACCTTAAAAAAGATGATTATTATAAAAATGAAAAAAAAAAAAATTCAAAAACTACCATCTATAAAGCAAAAACACAATATTCCATGCATTACTTCGATTGCAGCATGATTTATTATTATGAATTCTAAATGGAATATATTGACGGTATTCTTTTATGAACACCTGTATGAACTCAATCAATAAATTGCTTATTAATTTTGGATGATTTTAGAGAACATAACATTCAGCTAATTTATGATCAGTATAAAAAAATAATGAAAAAAAAATATACTCGGAGGATTCTGAAGTATGTTGGAACTAAAGACAGCTTCGCTAGGTAACGTGACCAGACTACTCCATGCATTATGGAAAAACTTCATCTGCAGCATAGTTATGAAGAAGAATGAAATTGGATTTAACAGCCGAATAAAAAGGGCACTGAAAAATACTGGAATTTCGATGATATAAAATGAAAAATTTCAGCATTAATAAAGAAATATAAGGCAAATATGCCCAAATATGTGAAAAAATATCTGATAAAAGATACCCGGAATCCCCTTCTTCCTTATAATTAATAAGTCCAATATCATGATTCCACTGTTTGTCAAGATGTGTGATGCGACGCCAGTAAGTTGGAGCTAAAGAAAACTGATAGCAATATATTGAGATTAGTACCACAGATGAATAGAATATAAGCAGCGTCCAATAGAGATAAAGAGAACGACGAAAGAAATCGAAAGACACCTATAAAGTTTAAAAATAATAAAAATCTGGAACAAAATTTTAGAAAAAAAATATAACTATACAGAACTAAACAAAAAACAGTTACCTGAAGTAAAATTAAAAGTACACTGAAAAACGCAAAATAAATAACTGTGTAGAAAACAGGAGGTGTCTGCACTGAAATGAACAGTAAAACGAAGGAAACCACAAAAATCCAATATTTAATAAAGAATTGAGTTAAGCACGAAACCGCCTGTGTTGTTGTTGATACTTCCTAAAGAACAATAGTAAAAAAGATTTCAAATGAAATTAATCAAAAATAAACAATAATAATACATCGATAGTAAATATAGTTATGGTATCAAATTATCATGGAAAACCAAATAATAGCAAATCATCTATAATTCTAAATGAGTTCTATTCTGGTTTATATCAAGCAGAAAGGATTTGATCTTTGTCGTTTGATGAGAATGACCTATTATTAAAAGGGAAATTCGAGTGGGATAGACAAATTAAAATTCAAGAAAATAAAATGCAAGGATATAGTGCATTCAGAGCAAAGTAAAAACAGAAAAAATTATAAGAAAAAGTTAAGGAAAATAGAGCTCAAAAGAAAATTATCGTCAGAACTATTGAAGTCGAATCGAAAGTTTCATAAATAAAATTAATTTCTTTCGACAGAGTAATCCATTAATCCAAGAAAAACTGGTCGGTCATAAATGCAATAAATAATGATTCATAATAATTCTCTTACTAGATAATAATAATAATAGAATATAATTATTCAAAAAAAGGTGAAAAAGTGAAATTATTCCGATCCTAATCGATTCATTTCGTAAAATACCCTAATAATTTGTGATTTACTAAAGCATTAATCACTGTTTAACTGAAATGTTTAACTGATAAAAATACATAAAATATAAACAGTAAAATATAAACAAAATATAAATAAATAAGAATGCCGACTATTATAAAAAGTATAGAAAAATAAGTTTAAACTAAAATTAACACGAAAAAACGAAATTTAGAATGAAAAGCCATAAATATTTTCAACTGAAATAATCAGCAATTTTTTGAAACGAATATGTATCGAGAAAATATGAAAGACTTACAAAAATATTAAATGATGGTTGGCTTAATTCCAATTCTCTTGCATCAAATGTTCCGTAAGAAATTCGTTTCGACCGATCATGATCGTTCAGCGAATTATAGTATTTCTCTCGAAGATATAAGCGTAGCAAAACAAACAAGGGCAAACATAATACCCCCTAAAATTTTTTTTATAGTCTTCATTCCGTTCAATATAAGAAAGCAAAATTTATAATCACTCTCGATAAGTCAAAATGATTTTAAATGAGTCATTGTTAAAAACAGTTTGTATTGATCATAAAAGATAAAAGACTTGTATCCATTTCTTTTTCATGCTAACCTATCAAAAATCAGTTAAATCTATGATTTTTCAAAAAATAAATCATCTCTTTTAATCTTTTCATTTCAGAACATTTCATCGTGATTTATAAACTAAATAAACAGTTGATGGTAATACAGGGCTGCTAACAACTAAAAAGCATTGATTGATTATGAAAAATAATATAAAAAATAAAAAATTTCGATTTTTTGTTTCATCTCTTAGAAGTTAACCGAAACAATAGACCAAATAATTAACGTTAATAAATACTACGTTAATATTAGTAAAACTACCTACTATTATAGTTTCAAAAAAATGGTTATTTATGTGAATTCATTCGTTTTCTAAGTAAATTCTAAGTAAAAAGTAAAAAAATTCTATGTAAAAAAAAAATTCGAACCAAGTCGATCGATTCCATTCAAACAATCCCTATAAAAATTTATCGCAACCTTTAAAATGAAATTTTACTAAGAATAATTTAATAAAATTCTAATAAAAAATTGAATGAAATATAAAATAAATAAATCTTTTAATCTTTTCTTATCAACAAATTTATTTGATATTCTAAACTATTAATAATACTGAACTATTATACTGAAAACATTTCTTATCAAATCTGATAACAAAATATTTAAACGTCAGTCAATCTCGCAAAATATTGTTTAAATCATTCCGTTACAATTTTCCTCTAAACGAATGAATTTTTATTATAGTAAAAAACAACTGAAAAAATGAACTATAAAAATTGAGAATTTTTGATAAAAATTCAAAAGAAGAACCGGTTGCACATAGTCGAGATCGTTAAAAATGATCGCTAAATATTTAACATAATAGACGAGTGGAGGAGGAGCAAAAAAGGAGAAATTTACAAAATTCCAATATTTTAATCTGTGCCATTATTTTGTAATATAATATGTAGATTACTATATATATATAAATAAATATATTTACAAATCAATGGTATTAGTATAGTAATCAATGGTATCAATGGTATTAAAGGTGGCGATGGATATGTAATAAAAAAAAAGAATAAAAAAAAACTACCTTTTGGTTAGAATCACAGTCAAAATCCGATCCGATAGACCCTGGGCAAAAATGCGTTAATATTTACCTGCTCTATCTCAGGATGAGAGTGATGTATATTGTATAGAATCTCTCGGACGTCGCCCGTATTAACAAGGTTCGCGCTAGATGCTGAGACTAGGGCTGTTTGATGACAAGAAGGCTACTGGAATAGTGCCACCTAATCAAAGTAGTTATATAAAATTTATGAAGCACAGTGGATGGAAAAAAAGATCTACATCCACACTAACTGAGAAACAGTGGCTTAACGCTTTAACAGATAAGAAAAATGAAGCCATTCTCTTAGCTGGAAATGGATCAATTCTGCACTACACCCAGACCCAGAATGTTCAGAAAGAAGAGGAAAAAAGAGATGCACATGCTACAAGCTGGGAAGCTGGAAATTGTCTTCTGACATCTCTGATGTAAAGCAGAGCAGCTGACATGAAAATCATGAATAAAATGTAAAAAGATCGAGACTGTCGAGGCTCAGTGATGCACCACCAGATAATTTGAAAATGCAGAGTCTTTGCAACAATTCCTACTATAACTAATAAGTTGGTATACACCATAGCCACTGTAATTCTAGAAATTCTGGGAAATAAAATCAAGAAAAAAAACATGTTTCGCCTATGGAGGAGGCTGGAAAAAAAAGCACAAAAGGTTACATTCCATCAGAAGCACTCAAAACTACCAAACAAAGGCTCAGAGCACTGGCCACTAGGAGAAGGAAAAAGAGAGAAACAGAGGCTAAAAAGATAAATGCCGTGTTCTCCAAGGAAACTGTTGAGGTGTTATGATAATAACAGAACGGAAGAATATATGGGAGAAACACAAAATTCATAATACCAATGTAAAATAGCTTCAAGATCTGAGAACAAGTAAACAACCACTCAGAGCAAGGATCAGCTACCATCACAGTCATATCTTGTTGACATCTAACAGCGACTCGAAATGTGTGAAAAATTGGACAAGTTGGATAACATCTGATCCAGATATGAAGAGGATATGGATGCAAATTCAACAATGGAACTACCATCAACCATCATCTTTAAATAGATGATTTCAAGTTATATGTTAAAAGCGAAAGAGATATCGACTTCATTCATCTAACACGAATCACAGCGAGGATACTGGGATGCCATTCTGTTTGAAGAAATATGACCGCATGGTAATAAAGAGAGGAAATGTAGTAATGGCTGATGGAGAACGGATATAGCGAACTGGTTTCACCTTGTAAAACCTTGGTACCCACAGTTACATGGCGAGGAGGCAAAGAAGACATCTAAGTATCACCAAAGGAGAAGGCAGATCTAGAAACTAGCTCAACAGAAACAACAAAATCCATGCCATAAATAAGGTGGACAAAGAAAGACATGGAGGCCACTGACTACCACATGGTACAGCAAGGCCCTCCATGGATTGGATCATCGATAGAGAGCTGAGGTAGCTGATATTCTACCAATAATTGGAGAAAGCCGAACTAAAAAACAACATTGAACAGTGATATAACTAATATCTTTGTTCAGAACAGGTTTAATAATTGCAAAGATCGACATGAGAAAGACGGACCTCCGACAAATAGGCCACAACGTGGTATTTAGAAAGGAACAGTGATCGCTTGGCTTGAATATCCATAAGCATTCTGATATTGCAAGCAGCACTTCGCATTTACAAAGTGATAAGGGATAGATTCTCGTCTCCCTTGACAGTTTCTCAGTAATTATTTCGGATCGAGAGCATATTCAATTTCTCAAGGTTACTTGGGAATATTATTATTATTATTACGCTCGGATCGTATATTTACGGTATATACCACCGGGTTAGAAATAACATATGCATCGGAAGACGCTGACGTCACGTCAAAGAGACCTGACCCTTTTACCACTTAGAGATAAAAATACAGCCACTTGGATTTTTAATACCATAACAGGTTTACTCCAATCAAAGATAAAAATAAAGACAAAAACAATTAAATTTAGAAAAAAAAAATAGAATTTTATTTAAAGACAATTAAAAGAATGAAATTTTAAGAAAAAAACATCTGATTGGCAGAAGAAAATACTATCACGTAATAATAATGGTACGTAATAGCATATAATAAATAATAAAATAATTATAAACTAATTGTAAAATAATGCTAAAACGATATCATTTCATTAATTTATTGAAAGAGGAACTGGAAAAGATATGAAATATAAGGCCAAAGTAATTCCAGTGATAATTGGAGCATTTGGAGCTGTGACCTCTAAATTAGAAAAGTGGCTCCAGCATATCCCAGGAACAACACCAAATCTCTTCCAGAAAACCACATTACTAGGGATAACTAAGATACTGCGCGGAATCCTCAATCTCCCAGGCCTCTGGTAATAGACTCGAGGTTGCGAATGATCATGACCACCCACAAAGGATTTTTAAAAATATAATATAGTACATATAAACGATAAAGGATGACAATTTTTGGTAACACCCATAGATATGATAAGCAACTAGTGGAAGTTTTTGAAGAAACTATTGCGAAACTAAATGTAGTATCAATAAAAATCCTTATTAAACATCAGATAAAAATTAACTATTAAAAAAAAAAATTAATCATTATTATCTAATCAATTAATTAATTAAATATTGTTGCTATTACTACCGATACTACCGATATTTCGAAAAAATCATATCGGAAATGAGAAAGAAAATTTTTTTGGTTAAGTGATTCCAAAAACACCAACCAACATTTTAAATCAATTAAGACAAAGTTTTATTTCTATCCAATTCTCTTTTTCCCCTTTTTTCTTTCCTTGTTTTTAACGCTAACTCTAAATCTCAAAAGACATATGAAATATAAGAAAAACCAAATTTTATTTAAAAATTAATTTATTGCTCCAGTTAATATATTATATGCTGTATTTTATAGTATTTTTTTTTATAGTGAAGAATATAGTGATATAGTGAAGAAAATTTCAACAAAAAAGAAACACGCCAAAGCATATAGTAAATACTCTAAATATTTTATCTAAAATTCCATCTTTTCCCAAGAGAAATCAAATATTCTGATTGATTCAGTTCACAATCGACAATATATAAATGATTGATGAAATGAAAAAGCAATTAAATTTTAAAATTTATCCAAATTCTAACCTTGATAACAAGGTCAATGAATGCGTCTGTTCGATTCTGCGCTGGCGCAATACCAAAAAGTTCGAGGAGTTCATATTTCTGCCATTCTTCTGCTATATCCAAACCGCAAATGTACTGTATGGTAAGTAAAACCTTAAAGATTGTAATATAATTTACAATCAAAATTTTCTGCGTATTGAAATAGGATAATAAATGTTTATTTTTATAGATAAACTTTTATTTAATTTTCAGCAAACTTAGAATATTTTTAATTATTATTAACAAATTTAGAAAAAAAAACGAGAATAAAAGAAAATAACAATTGAAAATCGACTGAAATTTTTGAAAAATGAATTAAATACAAATATTTCTAACATACTGAAGCAAAAACAACAATGAAGGGAGAAAATCTGAAAGATGCTGTACGCGAGTCTTTGAATACCCAAAATATACAAGCGAGACACAGGAATATTAACCCAAAAATAGAATGATACAGTAATGCCCAAACCTGAAAATATTTTTATTTTATTATTTAAAAAAAAAGGCAACGGCTATGCTTGTGACAGTTGAATGAACTATAATTGCAAGTATTAACCACAAGATAGATCAAAAGAAAAAAAACACATTTTTTAACCAAAACAACGAAGATAACGAATATTTTAATCTAAATAAATAAATTTTATTGCTTAACTTCTTCGAGAAAAAAATTTTTTAAAAAGTCCCGATTTTATTTTTCTTACTTTTTTTTACCAAGGTCGAACTTCAAAAAATGCGCCTTTTGAACCAAAATTATTTTCCAAAAAATCCAAAATTATCAGCAATTAAAGTTTTTTAATGCTTTGCAAAAAGTTTTACATACAACCAAATTATATTTTCAATTTAAAATTATAAAAACTTCAAAAACTTCTTATAAACTAATCGAAACTAATCGTAAATAAATATACGCAAAGTAGACTTACCATCATTGATATTAAAGCAAATATATAAAAATGGTGTATAAGGAATGAAATAGCAATTATTAATCCTTTCGAAGTTATAGACGGTAACCAAGGTGAAGCTAAAAAAGATGAATCCAATAAAAGAAAAGCAAATGATAAGAACAAAAATACTCATAATAAGGAAACATACTGAGAATGAAGGACTGAATTCTATAATGATCGATCATTGCAGAAGTAACTCGTGGAAGTGGAATATTTAAGTGAGCTTCTCGTTCTTCTTCAGCCAATAACTGAAAAAAAATTTTGAGATTTGACATTTTGAAAAATCCTAGAACAACTTAAAAGCATAGGAAGAACTTTAGAAATCCCAATAAGTTTTTATTTTTTGATATTATTTTCAATCACAAGTCATACGGTGATAAATTATATTTTTGTGCCTATTTCAAAAATTCAAATTCATTATTAGTCAAGAAAACGAAAAATACTATTAGTATAATTAAAAATTCAAGCATAAGATATGACATAAGATATGAATGAGAATGAGGTCCGATACGAACATCATACATTGAAAAAAAATTAAAATTTTGATTCATTTTATCGATTATGGAAAAGAATTTTAAAATTTTATAAAAAAAATTTATACAAAAGCAAATATATAAAAGCAAGTATTGAAATATTGCTGAACGATTTCATTGGAACTTTATTATCTAATAACAAACTCATTCTTCTAATTTCTTCATTCGAAAACAAAATCGAATTATTTTAATTAGGTAAATAATGACAAAATTATTGGGGACTTGAAAAAAATAAGACGAGAATAAGGCTTAATGGGTTTTTATTTCTGAACTAATGGCCTGTAGAAATAATTTGAAAAATCTGAGTGTTGCTGATTTATCTGATATTGCTATATACTTCTATTCTCAAGTGGAAAAAATTTGTCCGTTCTGCAAGCCAGCGTAATGAGTTTGATCAGGAATTAAGAGTATGCAGAAATAAAAGCTAGAGCCAATGATTGAGTCTAGATCAATGAGCTTCTTTTTTTTTTAAAGTAAACTAACGAATTTTTTCATGAAATGAAAAAACCAGCCACTCTGATCTTTAAAAATTATTTCTGTTTCAGCCTCAGAAAAATTTCGAATTAAGCGAATTTTGTAAAAATAGAAACAGCCAGAAAAGATGAATTAAACCTCTTTAAAAAAAAAAAGCAAAGATAAGCAAAACACAACAACAAAGCAAAAATTTTCGGCAAAAATTTCAAAAAAGGGAATCGTGCAAAAATAGAGGCATTATTACCATTTTACGGGTATGTTCCGATATAATTGCATCATTGTCCATTTGTAAATTAGATGAAGAAGCAGTAAAATCAGACATATCGAAAATCTACAACGAAGATAAAATGGATCAAATTGTTATGGCCGCACAATAAGCTCTAGAAAAAAATTAGCAAGCAACTGATCTATCTTAACAATCACAAACAGACCAAAAACGAACTAAGTTTTAAGACGAAAAAAAAGGTTCTGATTGGAATCTTGTCGTCTCTGTTTGAAAAAACTAGTCCAAATAAAAAAAATCCATGACATCAAATATGTTATATAAAGAGTACTAAGCGAAATAAACGCAAAAAAAAAGATATGGTGGAAGAAATAGATCGAATTTTTTTAAAATTATCTCCCTAAATTACAGAAGCAAAATAAGAAAAAACTTAGAACTAATAAGATTTCGTTTTGCCTTTTAAATAGTTAAATTCCAATCTTTCTCGAATTTTTTAAAGTTATTAAAAAAGACAAATAATCTACAATAAGACTGACAAGAATTCGACATTATTTAACAATCAATCACTAAAAAATAAAGACAAAAAAGTTATCATTTAAATTTAAATTTTGTACCAATATTCAGCAGTTTAAATTTTAGAAACCATTAAAAAACTAAAAGACCTTTAAAAACGCCTTATTATTTAAATAAATAAAGGTATGCTATGCTACATCAATAAACAATACCTCTTCATGCACGCTGCTTCCTCCACTACCCAAAATCATACAACGTTTTGTGCCGAAATACGTCCATCTATGTTGCAAAATGAGAACATGATAAAGAAGAACGATTGAAATAATATTGACATAAGCTGTCCAATAATCCTTGGAAATAAGAATAATCGACCACCAACTATCGCAATCGGTATGGATCAGAGGAACAAAACCAATAAGTCTGTAATTATAATTCAAAGTGGTATTGCAATTAAAAGAGATTAATTATCGTGAAATCAAATAACGATTAAAAAAAGCTGAATTTTTTTAAAAATTTCGCAATTTTCCGATATTCCATCAAACCAAATTAGAAAGCTCCACAAATAAAAAAAAACCTAGCAGGAAATGAATTCCTTGCAATAAATAATTGAATGAATGGAATCTGATAGACGTAAAGAAAACAGATGTGAACAGCGACATAGGCTACGATAATTAGTTTACCAAGGTTACTAAAATTTCTGCGAATTCGAGTGAAGCTGGACCACCAAATTGATGTGAATAAAAAAGCGATAAAATATACTAGATTCAGGATACATGGCTGAAATAAATAAAGAAATTTACTTAATTTTTAACAAATATTTGATTATTCTTATTGTAAAAAGTTAAATCGAATAAGCAATACAGTATCAAATCTTATTACCACAAAAAATAAGATTTAGCTCAGTGGATTGTGGCTGATATTATTGCAAGGACTTGGTTTCTACTTCCACAATATCTGTTATTAAAAAATCCGGTGATATTGGCAACCCAATCATACTTCTATCGCTAAATGCATATTCTCTGACCAGCGAAGCTAGCCTAATTAAAAATTATGAGCGCTGCTTATTCTTTATATCACTAAGATAATATTTATGCATGCACAAGATGAAAACAAAAAATGAAGTTATTTAAATAGCACTTTAAAAGAAAAACAATAAACAAACCTGGACTGATCCAACAAAACCGAGAAAGAGGACGATTATAATTTCAGATGATTTTTTGAGGAGCGGTAAAATACCGCTTCTGCAAAATAAAATTATTAATAAATTCTGCCAAGAAGTATTTAAAATATAATTTTTTAGTAACACATAACATAAAACCTAATAAAAGATCGTATAACTGACCGACCAATAAAGTAATGAAAAGCAACAAAAAGTGCAATTAATTATAATGAAAAGACCGTTCTGAACGATGGAAAGACTGATGACTTTCTGCCTCTTCTTGGGCGGGTTGAGTATGATGAATATGAGGAATAACAGTGCAGAGTATTACAGTTACCACAGTAGCGATTAATGACAATACTTCAGGCAATATAACACGAATAGAATCAAAACCAGCATCGCTTTTGATCCTTAACTTACAAACTCCAATTGTTAGAGAATTTTTAATATTAACAGGATTTCGCATTATTTAAAATCGAAAAAAGGCAATTTCAATCAAGCAGTACACCAATTCAATAAAAAGTTAAAATTTATCAAACCTGACAAATCCTAACTGACGAAACCAAAAATTGAGTGTGGATGAATTGCAAGCCTTAGTATATTCATCGATTTGCGGATGTAAAATGCTTTCAGAAATTTGATAGATAACTTGAGCTATTAAAGCTAAAACTGAAATTGTCAACGAAAAAAACAAATAAAATTGACTCGCTGAAGGCAATGGTGATGTTGGGCGTACCACTGGCAAAAGTGGGCCAATTAATGATAATAAAACGAAAAGAAATGAAATCAAGCTCGGTCGAAAAAATGCGCCTGAAAATCATTCAAATTCACCATATGAAATCAAACAATCAATTTTTTTAATATATTTTACTTAATTTTCATCGTTTACTTCATACCAGAAAATTATTATTTTGCAGAAATAAATGAATAATTATGATTGTTCGTAATTAATTTTTTCTCGCTTATATGTAGTCAGAAGAATTGGAAAAAATGGAATTAAGGCAATAATGCGATAATGATTTAATACTAATACTGTGGAAGCACAACAGTACAGCTGGTTGGCGTTCCCATTTTGGAGCTGGGATTTTAATTCAAATAGAAATAAACCTTTCTTTCAAAAATCCGAGTGGTGCTGGCAATACGTTAAGCTTGGCAAAATCTCTCTGATCTAATAACGCTAATGGAGAAAACCTAATTCGAAATATTTCAACTATTTTATAAAAATTAAATTATTATTATTAATGAAAATAGGAAAATAAAAAGGAAAAAATACCAAGAAGAAAAGTAAGCGGTAAAATTATGCAAACAAGAATTGTTTTGATATAAGCTCCAATCATTTTTATTATTTTTTATTATTAATTATCGTCAATTAGAAGAATTGTTGCTGTCGTTAATCTCGAATTGTATTAAAAAATTTACCTGAAATTTTATTTATTTTATTATATATTTATTTTATTAAAAAATAAATTCATTAATACGACTTATAGAAATATTTTTAAAAAATTGAAAAATAAAAAATATTATTGAAAAATCGGCAAAAAGCGATGAAAAAAACAAAAATTTTGCAAAAAACTAAATCAAATTTATTTTTCAAAATATTTTATATTTTATGCGAAAATAAAAATAAAATATTTTTTTAAATTTTCCCACTTTTCTTTTTTTCTTGTTTTCAATCAAAAATACGCTTTTACGAAATAAAATAAAAAAGAAAAACAAGAATTCGTTTGTTGTAAATAAAAAAAATTAACAAATAACTATGACTAATGTCAACCAAAAAAAAAAAATGGCTAAAACAAACCCATTTAAAATCGATATGAACGACTTTTACGAATTTATTAATAGCGATATTTTTAATGCCATTTAAACAACTTTCTATTTTTAGCCGACGATTTATTTTCAAAGCGACGAGGATTGACAATAACTGAAATTATTACTAAAGTTTTTGAAAAAATATATGATTGCGTAGTTTAAATGTAGAATTTCAAAGTAAAAAATAAAAGAAAAAATTTTTCCGGCAATTTCATAACAAATTTAGTATTGACCTTTCACTTGACCTCTCATCTGCACTCTCACCTGATCCTTCGCTTTTGCAGCCAAAAAATTTTTAAAATTTAATCTCTTAAAATTGAGAGAAAAGAAATAAATCTTCAGATCACTCGTAGTCACTCAGTTGTTCGTTGTAAATAACAATGCTTAACTGCATTTCGGATATTTTTTTCAGTAAAAAAAAGGAGAACAACTTCGAATTCGCCAAATGCAAGCCTTAACTTTACTCTACTGAAAATCGCTTTTCCTATACAAACCACTTCTTTCAATTGTTTTTTGGAATTAAAAAAATATTCCAAATGAATAAGGGAACATTTCTCTACCAGGAATAAGGTCCTTGACCCTTGACCCTTGACTACTTGAAACTATTATCTCAATCTTCAGTATCCCCTCTTTTCGCTTCCTCGTTCCTCCCTCCCTCTCCTCCTCTACCTAGTAATTCTACTCGACTACTTCATTCCTTACATATTCGATTTACAGCTGTTTTTTGCTTAATAATTGGGTTTTAGCACGAAAAACATTTGCAAGCTTTTGGCGGTTTATTCGAATTAGAGTTATTCAGATGGCAGGGGTTATTCGGGTGTTTGAGGCGAAGTATATCACTGGGTGTCTTTGAGTCTTTCAAGGGTTCGTCGTGACAAATTAGGGGACGATGGGTGACGTGACGCGTTACTGGCAAGAATACGCGAATGTTCGATGCCAAAAAATTAATTTTAAAAAACCCACCAATGAACATGAAACGATTCGGTATCATAAATTATGATTTGTTGGAAAAAAATTTTTTTCATAATTTTTTAATTTCTCTTTTTATAAAGCATAATTATATAAAATTACTATCAATATTAATATTTTTATTAAATTTGTTAAAAATCCTTTCTTAAAATATTCTTAAAATATTCCAAAAAATTTAAAAATATTAAATTAATAAATTTTTCAATAAATTAAATAAAATAAATAATTAATAAAGTTATATATTGAAAAAATTGAACTGAATGACACTATTAATATGAAATTCAATCGAAATTTTTTTTTTAAAAGCATAAACAAGTTATAATTTAAAAATTTAAAAAGCAATTATTAAATGAAAAAATAAAAACAATTCAAGTCGGAGTGATAACAGTGAAGCAGGTGCAGATGATAAGAATTTCATATCAATAGAACAATTACGATTAATTACGATGAATTCCATAATAAATTAAATATTAATGGATGGAAATGAATATATATATATAATATATATATTCATTATATACATATATATATATATATATATATCAATAAGCTAAATGGTACCGATTTGTGCTCAATTCATTAATTAACTTTCCCAAACTTATTAACAGCAATATTAGAATGAAGAAAATTTGAAAGGAAATAATATTGATATGCAAGATCAATAAAATTTACAGACTAAACCATACAATAAATTATGGAAATTAAAATAAAAATTGAGCAATATTTTTAATTTCAGTAAAAAAAACCAAAGAATAATAGCAGCCAAACGTAATAAATTTTTTTCCTCTTTAAAAAAGAACCTTTTTAAATTTCTAAAACAAATTTTATAATAAGCAAAAAGATAGCCAAATCTGAATTAAAAAAAAAAAAACTGGAAATTTAAAAAATTAAAATCATTCGAAACGACGAAAGGTGATAAATGATAACGATTAATTTGAACAAATTATAATCACAGATCACAAATTACAATCAGAGAAACAAATGTATGAAATACATAAGTAATAAGCATGGAAGGAGTATTGTCTATGAAGAAGTAGCAAACTGAAAATTTTATAACAGCACAAAGTGATATTCAATAAAATAACATTAAAATTAAATTTTGTGGCAATATTAAAATGAAAATTAAATACAACATTAGTTATATCAAAAACTGTAGAGTTATTCTAAAAATTGGTGAATTTTAAGAAAAATATCAGCAAAAACAGAAAAAAAGAAGTTTGCAGAAATCAGTTAATATCTCACCAGAGTCTAACTCAGAAATTCTATAAACTCCAGTTTCTAGTGACCAAATACTCCAAGATCGTTGAGTATAATGAAAAGTACAATCAATACAACAATCGTACAACCAACTGCAATGATAATCGACCATTTCATGTTTTTACGACATAATTGACGCTTAACACGACGAGCCGACAAGTTGAAATTTTCAGACTAAAAATTCACTTGAAAGTGATAAGATAACTTTGAATATTTTTAGCGATCTACTACTAATAAAGGATAAAAATCGTCTTAAAAATCTTATAAATCTATATAAATCTTAAAGATATGAAAGAACCAAACAGTAACTGTCGATACCTCCTCATTCTTCGATTTATTTGTTTTTAGAAAATATTAATCTTTTCTGTATCTTACATTAATCTTAATACTATAGATAATATTAATGTATTGATTATTTAATTAATTAATAATTAATATAATATATAATATATTACTATATTATATATTATATTGATTATATATATTAATTATATATACTATACTATATAATATAATATAATATATTACTAATTTATAAACAATACAATAATTAATTAATATTTTGATCCAATAAACAAATTTTGCTTCGAAGAAAAACTCTTCATAATTCATCATAAATCTGAAAAATTTTTGAGAGCTATAAAAAATCAATAAAGATGAAAATAAATAAATACAATAAATACTTAATCAATAAATATAATTAGTAAATTAATCTATAATTAGTAAAAATATCAACCAATTAACAAAAATAAAAAACGGATACTAACCGACTGATTCAACGCCTCAGCTCGTCCATCTAAATTTTCAAGTCGATCACCTCGTTCAAGTATACGGTGAACATTAGTTTGTATAACCTGCTAATTAAATTTCGATTAATAAATTAATTAACAAATTAATTCATTAATGAATAAATAAAATCTAATATTAGTCGAATTTTTATTATATTCAAATTCAGCTAATATAACACAACTCTTTTTCATAAATTTCATTGCTAAGCAAATTCCACTAAAAAACGATTGTAAACACAGGAAGCTGATAGATAGAAACAGTTAACAAAACTTTAAACTAAAAATACTATTAATAAATTTCCACCCACTAAAAAATAAACAATTTTAAAACAAGATGAATAATATTTATATTGCCAATATCTTTAATAAATTTTTCTGCAATCTTTTTATTAATATTAATCACAATAAGTGCTTTAAGAGCAATTATATTAAAGAAAATTGTATTAATTAGAAATTGATTTATTGAATGCCTATAATGTGAAGAGGTAAAAGCAGTCTCCAAGTACTGAATCAGATTCCTCGAACACTCTGCAAAAGATGTGGGAAATTGCTAAAATTATATCTAACACCTATCTTTAAGAATGATAATAGATATCTTTCTAATAGTAGATTTATTAGTATAACATGGATTGCTAGTGGAGTTTTAGAGAGAAAGTCCGATTTATCATTAAAAATAATGCATTAACAATATTCTTCTAACTCGAGCATTGTTTCCGACCTCAATATTTGATAGTTATAATTGATCAGCTTTAATGATTATACAAAAATTTTGGTAAAAAACGAACATAATTTTTAGATCCTTTAGGAATAAATCAGGAAGTTTTTGAAAAAAATATAAAAGCCTTTATTCTTCTACTATTATAATATAATTGTATTATAATATTGTAATATATAGTTTATTTACTATCCTAAATTACTTCACTAGATTTATTGAATCACAGAAACTAACAAAACGAATATAGAAACTGGATGATATATGTCATTTATAATATTATTTAATTTAATTTCTATATTTATTATATATTTCTATATTTATTATATATTTATTAATATATTACAGCTTCTCAATAAGGCCGAGTGATTTAAATTGGAAAGGTCGATATATTAAAACAAACACACAATACAGCTAAAGCTACAAAAAACGCTACATTATAGTTTTTTATGTGGTCAATTTCGCTCCTTATTTTCTTCTTTCTTTTAACTAGCACATGGCCTTCTTTCTAATACCTTGCTTGGTTCAATAAATAAATATTAACGTCAAATGAAAACCGGAAATGACCTAATGCAGAAATTATTGAGCTTACTATTGAAGGCAAATAGTATGGGTACAATACTGATCGAAAAGATCAGCGTCTCATTAAGGGATCATCTAAACGCTTCACGCCGATAACCATTAAAACCTTCCAAATCAGAAGCAGTATGGACATTGTAAATCTTACCGTTTTTACACCGCTGACTTCCTGTTGGAGTTCCTTTAATCGATCACCTTGATTCGATTCCATCTAATTGAACTGAAATAAAATATCCTGGAAAGGTGTTTAAATAGTGCGGAAAGATCAACGCGCTAAAGAGAGAAGTATAATAGCGAATGTAATAATAATTCAACGTCATCTATCAGAAAAAATTCATATTTTTCACCAATAAAAATGTTATTTAACTAAATAACGATCATTTATATAATTATACAGATAGGAACTAAATTTTTATAGAATAATTGCCATCAAATGGACCATTTTTTGCGAACAAAAAATAACCACTGAATTTTCGACAAAAAAATGCTAATTAGGAAAATTTAAAAAAAAAGTAAAAAATGAAGGATTCACGAAACAAACTAGGAACGACACTTAATAGACTTATCTGCTTGATTTATGTTTTATAACAATTATTTATTAGAGAGGGAGAATAAAAATTTTACTCCACAAAAATTTTTTAATAAAAGGGGAAAATATGGGAAATAATATGCAACTGATAAGAATGAATTTGTTTTATTAAAAGTGAATTCAGCCAGAAATTGCGCGTTTCTAAAAGAAGAATATTATAACAAAATAAAATATTTTTGAAGGAAAATAGTAGAAGATCGACCAATAATAATAAATGACAAAAGTATAGGAGACCTACTTTTATTTACCGTCAAAAAAAAATAATCGATAAAAAAATCTTCTAAGATATTCTAAATTTCGATGGGAAATCTTTAAAATAAATTTTAATCTGTAACTGATTAATTACTAAGACAAACAACTGAGGAATTCTGAAGAATAAATGAACGTTCTTAATTTGAAAATAAAGAGATATATATATTTTTCTGAGAAAAAAATATTTCTTTTTTTCGTGAACAATTTGAGAAGTAATCGAAAGAGTAGATAAGCAAACAACCTGAAAATAATGTCTGTAAATCAATGTTGTTCTGAATAAAAGCCTATTTTTTATTTAAATAAAAACTGGTTTTATGCCAATTCATGATCGCAACCATATGATTCATCACTATAATTCCAGAAAACATAAACAATATGAAGACTTAAAAAAATAGAATATAATTGTGATATAATCGCAAAAATTGACCATTTAGATAAAGACCTTTTTATTTATATACGATCAATAAATATTCAAGTCACATATTTATCGTTTCGCATTCAACCTTGCTACCGACCTTTATTTGACCTTTAATAGAAAATTTCTAAAATAAATCTTTTTTTTTAAATAATAAAAAACAAAACATTCCATGCATTATTTCACGACGTAAAACTATAAGAAATTTGATAAATATTTACCAATTCCCAATTATCTATTAAATCTTCCCACTTTCAAAATTTATCGCTTAACTTACGACGACAAAAAATAAAATATTTTGAGAAAATAACAAACCGAACTGAAATGGATAGAAATGAAAGAAAAAAAAAACGAACACTTTCCGGTTATAATTGCATTTCGAAACAACTTTTCACAAAGCAATCGAACACGACAATCGACTGGCTGGTTGCGAATTTCAACTATCACAGATTTGAGTTCTTTGCTTCAACGGCAGTGAATATGTCATTAAAAGCAAAATTATGGTGATTTTATGGATCCATTTGATTCTGCCAACCACAAGAAATACTATGTGGCAAAGAAAAAATGGCCATGTTGATAGTTCGTAAAGGCCAACCAAATTAAAAATACTGAAAGTTAAAAGAAGAAGAAAGAACGAACGAAAATGAGATATACACGAAATATGGAAAAAAAAAATCGTAAAACTCTATAGCCTATTTATTTTCCTATTTGCCTTTCTTCGATGTCCTTCATTCTGTCCTTTTCTCAATGATTTTTTTTTGACCTTAAAGTATGAAAAATATTTGAAGGAAACTGGCAAAAAAAAGAATTTCCCCCAAATAAATTAGAGAATTAAAACCAAAAACTTTATAATATTTTAGACCAAAAGTTAAAAATCATCGAATTAAATGATATTTATTAACAAACCGCAAGAGGATAAGAGGACAAATTACTCCACTATTTTCCCTCCATTCCTCTTTCCTTTCCTCTCTTTTTCAATTAATAAAAATGATTGAAAAGGAAACTTATAGAAAAGGAAATATATTTCGCAGCTAATTTACACCTTTATTCTCATAATTTAAATAAATAACAGCATAAATGATAAGTGATAAATGATAATAAACAAATAGTAATTTTCTCAATATAAAAATTGGATGGAGTTTTATATTAAAATGATAAAAATTATTATACAATCAAATCATCAACAAAAAATTGGTTACACAAAGATCAGAAACCTTCGGAATAGAAAGGAAACTAAAGAATTCGAAAAAAAGTTGATCTTCGGCCTCACATTCATCAACTAACCAGCATATCTACGGTGCCCCTCAGGTGATGCTGGCGATTCACCACCCTCCCCAACCCCTCCCCCTCCCCACTTCTATCTCTAAGGAACTTCCCGATAGTGATTCTAACCAGATATGGTGAGAAATGCTCTAAAAAAAAATCTACATAGTAATAGTAGATAGTCTTGAGCGGAAAATCTAAAATATTTGGCATTTTTCCAAGTGCGGGTCTCATTAATTTCCTTTTATTGCAAATCTCGTGGGTGATGGGAAGTGGGTTTCCAGTTCGGTTGGTATAAATACAGCTCAGGTCGTGGGTTGGCTGATTTAAATTAGGCCGTGGGTCATTGTGGGTCGTGGGACTGATATATATAGTCGATTCATAACATAGACTGGCTTATTACATTATTGAGAATTGTTTTATATAATCATATAATAAAAATTATTTTCAGCGTAAAAGAAGAATGGGAAAAAAATTCAACGAATGTTTTTCGATGATTTTTTTCGAGGTGACATTACTGTTAATTTATTTCTTGTTGTAAATGGAAAATCTCATTGCAATCATTTAAGATTGTGGCCGCATATGATTCGTAGTTTTTGAGAAGTTTTCAGGTCTTTCTGTTTGCAAATTTGCCTCAAAGAATTGCAAATTGGCTAAAAAGAAAGTCGCTGGTTTTATTTTAGGATTTAGGACATTAATTAATCGAAGAAAGATTTAAATAATTTTTTTTTTTTAAATTATTTTCAGCATTAAAAAATAATGGATAATAAGCCCATCGAATATTGGATAAGTAATTTTTTATTTAGTATCGTTAATTTTATTATTGTGGCATTGACATTTATTGTGGCGTACTTTTGTTGATTAATTAAAATAAATTTAAACAGTTAAAAAATTATTCAATTTCTGTATGTATATGCTCGCATGCTTTCCATTGCATGTTATAGTTATTTTTAATTTTTTATCACTTAAATTCAAATTTTCTTCTATATTATTTTTAAAATGAATATAATAGTAAAAATAATTTTAGCACGAGCAACGGATCCATTTTTAGCGGAAAAAGATCGTTCAAAATTTGTTGATGAATTATGTGAACGAATAAATAAGGATTATGACGGTGCAAGTATTGCAACTCGTTTATTGGCACACAAATTGTTAAGTCCTGATCAAAGTGAAGCTCTTTGCGCTCTAAAGGTTTTTTTCTTGTTTAAGATTGTCTTATAATAACAATACTGTAGGATGGCTGATTTGCCTATTGGCAGGAGTAAATTTATCATTAAACGTGGAATCTGAGCTATCCCGAAGATTCATTTGTATTTTCATTCTTTTATTTTCATCGGACTCTGTGGTAAAGGGTTCTCACTCTAGTAGCTACTAAAGCCAGCTAAATCAAAATAGTCCTTAGTTAGAAAAAGCATAACAAATGTGGTGATCTTTTCCAACCGTGGGATATTTTCGAAGTTTAAATTGGCCGAAAGATCGCTAAATTCAATCACTAAATTTTAGATCCTTAAAAAGTGTGACGAAGTGGTGTTTATTATTATTCTTTATTTCTGTTTTCATTTGAAAATCTTAATTGATTTTTAAATTTCAATTATTCAAAAAGCATTTTAAAAAACATTTCTAAAAAGCATTCTATTTTTATTTATTTGTAGACAATTGATAGATGTGTGAGGCGTTGTGGACAACGATTTCATGCAGAAATTGCTAAATTTCGATTCCTTAATCAGTTTGTTAGATTATTGTCGCCAAAGGTAATGATTTTTCGTTTTGCTTCCATAATTTCTTTTATTTTTTTCACTTTCATTTTAAGAATTAAACTTTACCAATTAAAAGTGTGAAAATGGTGCAATACATTTGGGGAAAATCCAATGTTTTTGAATTTTTGATTTAAAAGATTAAAAAATTTTTTCTTTTGATTAACTAGTTGCAATTATTAGCTTTATTATTTATTTTTTTTTTTATATTTAGTATAATGGTGAATCAACAAGTGAAGAAGTTAAAAAACTTGCGATTGAAATGTTGTTTATATGGCAAAAGTCGATGAGATATTTCACAAAATTCAAAGAAGTAAATTTCGCCTTTAAAATTTGCATCTATAATTTGTTTTATTAACTGTAATTTGATTAGAAAAATTTTAATTTTTCGACATATCTATTTGCCATGTTCCGACCCTCCTTTTTTGCAAAATTTAGTTTAGGTATACGATATGCTAAAAGACCAAAATGTTATATTAAATGATCCTGAGCCACAAATTGAAGCAATAAATGTAGAAATACCACCGCGATTAGCGACATTCGAGGATGAAGAAAAATCATTGCTGTTATCGCAATTACTGAAGAGCAATAAAAAGGATGATCTTTATGCTGCCAATCAATTAATCAAAAGTATGGTAAGATCTGTAAGTTTTATTTTTCTTCTCCTGTTCTTCGATTTTGCCATTTTTTTATTTGATATTCAGTCGATGTTGAGATAGTTGTCTTTTGGTAATTGTTTTTTTTTTAAATTCAGGAAAATCAAAAGCTGGAACGAATTCATCGGCGAAATGATATATTGGAAAAAGTGAAAAACAATTGTCGTATTTTGGATGATATTCTAGCTTGTTCAAATATAAATGAAAGATCAAAAAAAGATCTCGAATTAGCCTCGGTGAGTTCTGTTAAGTCGAAAATAATCTTTTAAAGTAATTTAATTTTTCCAGCCTTTTTTTTTAAAAACTATGCAATACAATGGTCTGCAAGTAATATTTCAGGAATTATCTTCTTATCTGGCCAATATCCGTCCAACTTTATATCATTATATAGGAGAAGCTACTGAAACTGATTATGATGCTCTTGCTGATATTCTATTTGTAAATGATACAATCAATAAAACTTTGCAAAATTATAAAAGCTTTACGAATAATTTGGTAAGTTTAAAAAATAAGCATTAATTTAGTGATACATGATATGGAGGCCAAAAAACTTTGGTTCAACCATTATTTATTTGTTATTTTTCTTTAATATGAATTCGCTGCTAGCAATATCAATATGTTATTTTTTTTTACCATATATCAACATATTATTTTTTCTTCATTTGCTTTATTTGTTTATTTCGAACTTTATATTTATATATAACTTTATGTTTGTAAAGTTTCAGGCTTCTCATGGAAATATAACTGATGAACTGATCATTGTTGAAAATTCTTGTATGCAAAACAGAGATGATGCGGCTGTTGGTCATTTATTGACGCCAAGGTGAAGGAAGAATTATTTTGATTATTTTGTTCATTAAAATTGAGGAAAAGCGTAATAATTTTAAAGCACAATACATTGCTCCCCAATTCTTCCAATAAGTTTATTTATTTATATTTATTTATAAAAAATCGAGCAGTAATCTTGCACTAGTTATTATGCTTTTTTATTCGTTAATAACAATTTTTGTGGAGAAAAATGAGAGAAATAAGAAATATATTAGGTTATAAGGGATTTAGGATAATTTTATGCTAAATAATGTTATTTTTTTTAAGATCCCTCACCATTACTGGGTAGACTGGCTCCACCGGTTTGTCGCACTGGATAAATATACCAGGGATCTCTTGGCGATAGAAGTACAGATGAGTCGCCAGCATCCCCTGTATAACTGAGCAACAATCCACTAAACCATTTCACTCCCTAATGATTAATGTTATGGATGACATTATTGCTTAAACTTGTTGTGGTAAAATTATTTTTAAAAGTAGATATAGACAAATATAAAATATAGTTATTGATGGTGTAGTTTATTTTGATAGTTAATAATTACTTCGAATAAAAAAATTTCGAAACATTGATTTTTTCTTTCATATAGATTAGCGTATCTTCAATCCTCTTGTATTATTTTAGATTTACATTATATTAGATTTAACGAGAGATCATAGTATTTGTTAGAGACCAGGTTAGCAGAATCAGTAATCATCTTATAAATCATTTTGTTTGATTATCTTAATTCTTAATGAATATAGGTCAAATAAAATTAAGATTTTCGGCTATCAGATATAGATCTGAGATTGTTACTGTTACTGGTACTGTTCACTTCAACAAAAAGTTGAATAGGTGCATGAAACAATTTCAGGTTAATCTGCAGAATTGTTTAACACTTTAACAAATGTTTAACACTTTTAACATATATTTCGATTCGTTTATCGCGAAATCAATTAATCATATTATTCCAGTCAGTCTGCAGATCAATCATTTGATTTCCCACATGTGAATAGTACCTTGTGGTGCATCCCGATCTAACAGGGAAGAAATCTGAAATCGATTATTCAAATAATCGATTATAATCATAAATCCACTTGAAAAAGTCCTCATCAACACACGTGTTTTAATAGTTTCAAACAATTCGCCCTATAAAACAGCATAAGGTGCAATAAGAATATGGTTTGGCCACGATCCATAGAAGCTGTTCAGACATAAAGATTATTAAAGTTTATGATCGATTCGCTAATAATAACAATTAACTTGTTATTAATAACTAGGAACGATTCGTTTTTTCAGTTTTTTTTATTAATTTTAACTTTTTTCCTTAATCTCTTTCAAGCCTTTTTTTTTAGAAAAAATGACAACAGCGCTGCGAATGATGAAGAACCTCTTATATCAATGGAAACGAAATTAAGCTTAGATTTGAACGAGCTGTCTTTACTTATGGATCAAGCATCATTTATTGAATCTAATACTACTGTTCGGTTTGTTTTTTTTTCTTAATAACTTCGATATAAAAGCCAAGAAATATGATACTATCGGTGAAAGAAATGTTTTGCAGTGATCGCTTGGAAAATGTTAATGAAAATGTTAATTCAAATCATCAGTGCGAAGAAAGCATACGAATGACGGTGGAAAGCTCTGTTGATCCTTTTAATAGCTCATCATCAGAAATTAATTCAAATATTGTTTGATTGATTCAATTGCTAAATAGTAAAAAAAAAAGCATTTGCTAAAAATTGAATTAATTTTCACCGCAGTTCACCGCGAATCATCACTAATCTAAAACATTCAATAATATTCATTCGATGTTAATTTTTTCACATTGGCTTCAAAATTTTTTAAATCATAGGTTATTATTATTTTTGAAATTTTTTTATTTGATAAGTTTTTTGCTTTCAAAAAATTCGAATTATATTCACATCACTTATATTTTTTATTTATTTAATAATATAGTTCGTTTTGATAAAGAATTTTTTTAAATAAAAAATTTCCAAAAATTTCCTGAATAATTTATAATATAAATTACATAAATTAAAAAAAAATAATTCATTGTTCAATGAGCAAAAAAGAAAAAAATCTAAAAAAAAATGGGGATTTTGGCAGGGCAATTTGAGGGATCGTTTCCAGTTGATATGCATATGTATTTATTGTAGCTTTTATAAGAGGAAAATTTATTGGATTTAATCGTCGATTAGTCACAACGTAGATTTAAAAATTTATAAATTTTGTGATTTGAATGAATATTTAAATTGGTTTTATTATTTCGATAATATATAAAATAAAAATAGGAAAGCGAGCAAATAGTTATTAGCTTCAAACTTATCGATTCGCCGCAACACTTTTTTGTTCATCGACATTTTCTCGGCAATATTTCGTAGAATTTAAAATTATTGCTTATGAATAGAATTATAAATAGAATATTAAAAAAGGGGGGAATTTCGAGAAAAGGAATGGGAGAGGCGACACGGGGAATTTCGAGGAGAGGAAGAGGAGAAAATATGGAAGAGGCGACTGGCAGGGATGAGGAGAAGAGGCATTGTTGATGAGGAAATGGTTGTGAAATTAGGAGGATTAAGCGATTCTCGAAATATTTGCAGTTTTTAAATAAATAGAATTTATTGTTATTACTAATGAAACAAAATAATCGTATTTTTTAGTGCGCGTCAATTGCGCGCTAAGAAAATGCAAATTTATGAATTAATTTGATAATCGGTGGGTGAGAAAATGCTAAGGTGGTGATCGACTGATTCTCATAAGGCGAATTTCATGATTGTCACCAAAATCCAATATCTAATTATGAGACAAGAGAATGTTACTAAGGAAATGAATAAGCGTATCACCACTGGACTTTTGATTCAGATCTCTGCCCTAAAGACGGAGGAAGAATCGAACACTCGGTGACGTTTCACCTTAGTCCAAGCAAGTTACCACTGCTGTTCATCCTCCTTCACTAATCGACACCTATAAATTATAAAACAATGGTCACTTTGGGGTCATTATCAATATTGATCGATTGTGCCACAATGTTTTGCCATTTATTTATAATATTATTATTAATAATATAATTTTATTATTAGTAAAATTATTTATAACGAAATATTATTTATATTCGGTTTATATTAAATATTATTATTATTTATTATTAATATTATTATAATATTATTTATTTCTCTTCCATTATTTCTTTATTAATTAGTTTAAAATGAATAAATATTATTCTGAAATTATCATATGTAAGTTATCAATCTTTTTTTTAACTGATAAAATTACAAGGTTTCTTTTTAGCCGTGGAATTTCACTCAATTTTGGCAGTATTTCATTTAATTTTGATAGATTTGCATTTAATTTTATGTGCATTTAAATATATTCGGTAGTCCACACTGTTTTTTCAACTTCCATTCTATTCCCTCTCAGTGATAAGCTTTAATATTGATAATCTTGGACGATCTACCATTCGCGTTTCGTCCGTTCAAATAGGATTTTCCTAGCGAATATCCCCAAACAACGTTTCCGTTAACAAAGCTAAGCCATCGCCTGGGTTTTTGTCACTTTGTCACATGCAATTTACTGAAATTCTCTGAAAACATTGTCAACTTTAAACTACTAAATGGTTTTCTCATCAATTTGTCACAATTTGCAACTTCCAGTAAAAATTCAGTGAAATCGTTGAATTGAAATTATGAATTTTCACTGACCTGCGACCTTTTACTAAGAAAATTTTATGATTTCTTTTTATATTTTTTTTTATTAAATATGAATAAAATTGAAGGAAATCAAACTGTAATGATAATGATAATGAAAAGATTATCAATATCGTCAAGTCGATTAGCCCAATTGCTAAGCGTTAATTCGTTACGAAAATATGCAATTTGGTACCCCGATGCGGAATTTTTGCGACAATTTAAGGTTATTTATTCCAAAGAAACAATCCTTTAAAATTTAATAAAATTTTCGATTTCACCTTTAGTTATTTTAATTGTTTAATTTTAGATGATTTTTATTTTAAATGATTTTTCATTTTAATTTAATAAATAATTTTTCTGAAATATTTTGATTAAAAATTGTAAATATAAAAATAGCAATTTTTTATTTCATGAATTGTTATTTTTATTATTATTATTAATTATTATTATTTAATTATTTATTATTATTATTTAATTTTTTATTATTATTTATTATTTTTATTATTATAATTTATTGTAATTATTATTTAATTTTTTTGATTTCTTAATTTATTTAATTTTTCATTATTTTTTTAATTTTTCAATAGATTTCAGTGAATTTTTTATTAAATAATTCCTATTTTAATCTATTTTAACTTTTTAATCATAGTTATTTGCTGCAAATTTTTCATTATAATTTTATTTTTTTCATTATTTTAGTTTATTTAATTTCTAATAATTTTTATGCTAAATTTTTTTATTTTTTTTAATAAATTTAATTTTAATTTTTTTGACGTTAAATTTACATTATTATTGCAAAATCATTTCGTTAATTAATTATATAAAATTGTTTTAGAATCGCGCAAATTTGGGAAATGTTGCATTGAAAAATTTGTCGGAATATGAGAAAGCAATCGGTGGTGAACGAATTAATAAAATAATCGAAGATTATCCGACATTTTCGGATGAACGTCTAGGAAAATTTCGTGAAAAGAAAATCGAAAACATGACAATAAATTTCGGACCACAACATCCAGCAGCTCATGGTGTCTTAAGACTTGTTCTTGAACTTGAAGGAGAAGTTATTCTTTTTTAAAGTCTAAAATATTCATACGAATGAATTTTTTATAATATTTTTAATACTTAAATATTTTAAAATTTTTTTATATTTTATAGGAATAAAAATTAAAATTATTTAATTTTTTTTTATTAAAATTATTCTTATAAAATAAAAATTTCAAATTATATTTTCCAATTTAAGAAATTTTTTGTTCAAAATTTTGTTCAAAAAAAAATTTTGAAAAATAGAAAAAATTTTATTTTTATTTATTTATTTTAAGATTGTTATAAAAGCGACGCCACATATTGGTTTACTTCATCGCGCAACCGAAAAACTTATTGAATATAAAACATATACACAAGCATTGCCCTACATGGATCGTCTAAACTATGTTACAATGTTTACAAATGAACAAGGATTCGCGTTAGCTGTGGAAAAACTTCTAGGAATTAATATTCCACCGCGTGCAAAATGGATTCGAAGTTGGTTAATTTTATTTTTTCATAATTTTTATAAAAGAATATGAAGTTAATTAATTAATAGTGAAGTTAATTCTTGTTGTGAAAGGCATTTCTTGTTTTGACTGACTTCATTAACCATTGTTTCAATTACTATTATTGGCACGTGCTTCATACATCGTATTGTACAAAAGGCATATTGCTGACATTACATGATATAATTTAGGGATATGATAACAATATATTCAAATTTGGGCCTACATTATAGCTTCAGATTGATTGTGAAAAGTAGGAGGATAGGAATTCTATGCGGTGACCTGGTAGTCAGCTCGATTAATACTCTGAAATATAAGATGAGAAAGATTTGTATTTCCTTGGATTTGTAGATTTGTATTTTCTTCTACTTACATCCACGAATTTCGATTTTTTTAGTGATATTCGCTGAAATTAACCGTTTAGCGAGCCATATGTTCAGCCTTACGACACATGCGTTAGATATTGGCGCAATGACACCATTGTTTTGGTTGTTTGAGGAAAGAGAAAAAATTTATGAATTAAGGTTTATTAAGAATAATTTTTATTATTTTCAACTGGAGTATGAACATTTGTTTAAAGCTAATTGAATTTATATGAAGTTTTAAATCAGTGGAAGATATTCATAAAAAAAAAAATTTTTTTTCGATAAGGAAATTCGATGACATATAATTTTTAAGCTGTTTACTAATTGGAAGATTTTCTCTCCTTTCGCTCTTTTCGCTCTTTTTCAGGTTCCGCTGAATTCACTACTAAGATAGGACTCTAAGCCATATCTGAAATTATCTGTAGTTACTGCTTTTTCTTACTTAGTCACAGTCATCAACAAGAGTTAATAAGAGAATCATTTTATGATTCAGATAAATTTCCCAAAGTCATATGTGTCATATGTTTACTTTGATTAAGCGAACGTGCATCTGGAGCAAGAATGCATATAAATTATATTCGACCTGGTGGTGTAGCGTATGATTTACCGCTTGGATTGCTTGATGATATTTATGATTGGGTTGTGAAATTGCCCCAGAGAATCGATGAACTGGAGGATATGTTAACGGAGAATCGAATCTGGAAGGTACATTGAATTTTTTCGTTTTACTTCCTTTTCGGCTTTCTATCAGCCTTTTATCGCTATTTGGTCTGTTTGGTTGAGAGTTTCAATATATACAATTTTAGGCTCGTACAATTGATATTGGACGCATTTCTGCAGCTGACGCTCTTGAATACGGATTTTCCGGTGTTATGCTTCGAGGTTCAGGAGTTAAATGGGATGTTCGTAAGGCATCGCCGTACGAAGCTTACGATCAGGTTGAATTTGATGTGCCAATTGGTACTAAAGGCGATTGCTACGATCGGTAAATTTGTTTCCTCTATGTATTTGATAAATTTTTTCTTCAATTATTCAATTTCAATTGAATTCTTTTTTTTTAGTTTATTTTCTTTTGCTAAAAAATTAGTTTTATCTTTATGTTTCATCTTTGGCCAATGCTTGTCTATGAGTTTTTTAATTTATAGATATTTGTGCCGTTTGGAAGAAATTCGACAAAGTATGAAAATTATTCATCAGTGTTTGAATAAAATGCCTCAAGGTGAAGTTAAAATAGATGATTTTAAGATTTCTTCTCCAAAAAGGAGTGATATGAAGGTAATTATTGGAATAAATTTTAAAAAAATAAATGAGAATAATAAAATTATAAATCGTTTTTCAAATATTCTTAATTTGTCCGATTTTTTTAAAATTTTTTAAATCTTTGAATTCAATTAATTGAAAAAAAGAAATATTTATATAGAATCTATGGTTTTTTAGAGGGATATGGAATCACTAATTCATCACTTCAAATTTTTTACTGAAGGATTTCAAGTTCCACCGGGAGCTTGTTATGTTCCTATTGAGGCACCTAATGGCGAATTCGGAATATATCTTGTTTCCGATGGATCGTCGAAACCATATCGATGCTTTATTCGTGGGCCTGGGTGATAATAAATTTATTTGTTATTTTTTAAATTATTTTTATATTCAAGAAATCTGCTTGTTCCATACGCGGTATATTATATTGTATTGTATCTTAGCTCTGTTATATTAACGGTCCTTCTTATAGATTTGCTCATCTTGCTGGATTGCCTGCAATGAGTTATATGTCTCTAATTGCTGATGTAGTTGCTATTATCGGTACAATGGATGTTGTTTTTGGTGAAGTCGACCGATAAATAACAAATCATAATAAATCAACTGGCAAGTGATAAGTGATAAATTTGTGAATAATTGTATATATAAATTATTTTCCACTGGGAATTTTAATAGATAAATTTCATTTATTTATTCAAAATATTTTCAACGATTAATAAATATTAAAAATGATTACTGTTGTCTTTCATAACGATCGACTTGCATTCAAAAAAATTTATTTCTGAGAAAAATTTTATTTTTATTTTTAATAAAATTTTTTATTCTTTTATTTTACTATTATATTATTTGTTATTATTATTATTATTTCGGGGAATTTCGATATTAAATAAATTCGAATTCACTAAATACAATAAAATATTATTGGTCGTATATTATAGATTTATTAGGAATCATAGATGAATATCATTAATTATGGGAAAATAATGATGGAAAGGAAGTAAAATGGTGGCAATTTGTCAGCGGTGTTTTCAAAATCTATGGCGATGGTCTCTAATGAACAACGATTCAAGCCAGGTGATTTATCAATTGAATAAGTTTTTTTTTTTTTAATAGATATCAATCAATTGCTACAATAAATTTAATTTCTGATATGATAGTGGAATATTCTAAAATACTCGGACGTTTATTAGGAAAGTACTAATGTTATCGCTGATAAATGATAACTGATAACTGATATCTAAAATTCGGTGAATAAAATATGCTCTCTCCCTATCGTTTTTTCCTATTATTCATTCATAAAATAAAAGATAGAAAAGGCCGCAAAATGAATTTAGAGAAGAAGGAAAACGTTAAAATTAACGTTCGTTATAGAGAAATAGACAATCGTTATTGGTGTTATATGTGTTGGTTGGGCTCATTGTGGACCATTCGAGAAATCTATCGCCTTCAAAATCAACCAGCAACCGCTGAGAGAGAGAGGGAGAGAATGTGCGTTAATCGATTGATTGCGTTTGCATTTTTATGAAAAATTTCGATCGATAAACGCAATTGAAAATGAAAATAGTTGGAATAAAAAAAGAGGATTCTAATTTTTTAACAGGTTAGTCAATAGATTGCAAGCATTTCTTCGATAGCTTTCAACAATTCTCCTAATTTACGTTTTTATCGATATTGCACACCTATTTTTTTGGATTGCTTGCACCGTCCTTTTCGTTTTTCATATTTCGTCGCTGTTGCACTCGTTTTTTAATAGTGCTTGCACTATTGATTCTTTAAAATTGTACGCATATTCTCCAGAGTGCTTATACTCTCAGTTCTCCCTACTTCATTATTAGCGCATATTATACGCATATCTTCTGGAGTGCTTGCACTATTGCACTATTCGGCATATTTCACTGGTATTGCACGCATAACTTCTGGATTGCTTGTATGATTAATTCTTTTTTTATATCTTTATTGGTCTATCATTTCGTCTTCCTTATATTTCATTGAAGTTGCACGTATCTTCGCACATCCTTAAAAATGGACTCGTCGTTGCGATTATTCCAAATTTTTTAATATCGATTAATATTTATAATAATCGTTTTTTTATTTATTATTTATAATTTATAATTTTTTTATTTATAATTTATAGTTTATCGATAAAGAAATGCGAATAAAGAATATGGAAGATATCCAATTCATCTTCTTCGAAGTTGTTCAAAGTTTATCTAAAAAACGGTTTGCGATTTTTATAAATATTATTTTATTTAATGAACAATTTGCGATTATTCAAATTCTTCTAATAGTACGCAGCATTGCTTGTTTGGTTCGAACGATTCGGTTGGTTCCGCTAGCAGCCATAACCAAGCATTTCTAAACTTTTTTGTCCGATATTTTTCCTTAGAAGCACTGCGATAAATTCGTAGTTTTCAAACGATACTACCCGATTCCATAGTTTCGATTTCTTTATTTATTTATGAAGGAAAAATTTCAGGAAATTTCAGCAGCGAAAAACTTCGTAAAACTTGTCGTACTTCTATTTTTATTCCTTTGTTGAAGTTGGCAAATTTGCAATAAAGGCAGATTTATTGGTCGTGTAACGTTCGATTAATGGCGATTTATCGTTTGTTATTTTCCTTCGTATTTTAATAGGAACTAAAAAAAAGAAAAGAAAGAAGATACACTTAAATCATTGCTGAATGACTAATTAAAGGAGTGTTTGTTGTGATGATTAAGAATGTTCAAAGTGGCCGGAAAATGTTCCGATAATTAGTTCTTTCATAGATTCATAGATTTATTTTCCTCTTTTCTAATTTCTAAAGTTTAATTTTTGTCAAAATTTTAAAAAATTTATTCAGAAAAAAAGAAAAATTCTCAAGAATTGACCATGTAAACTACGAGTTATATGAATTTGCATGAATTTCTATATTATTTTATCAAATTATTTAAAAAATGGAGTTTTGCTCTGAAATAGGCCTTCTTATTTTAGATGATAAATGATAATCTAGGAAATACGTACGTATTATTTGGACGATTTGCACCAAAATCGAAAACTTCATGATTATAAAATTTCAAGAAATTCAAATTGATAAAATTTCATTAGAAAATATTACTAAAACATAATATGTTACCGTCAAGTTTATATACCACTCGCTACCATATACAAGTCGAATTACTTTTTCTCGATTCTGACCAGTCTAGTTGAATTCTACAATCCAGTTGGGATGAAACGCTTTTTCTTCCATTTTTCCATTCATAATTCACAAACATCGAAAAAACATTTCAGATAGATGTGTATTCGGATTTAATGATATGGCAAAGTCGGCTGTGTGCAGTGGTTATTTGCAAGGCTTCTTCCTGGAAATGGAATCGATCTGGGTCTGTGAAAAATCATCTGTTTCTTTGTCTTTTATTGTTTTGAGTCAATGAATTTTTTTTTTTGTTTTTGAATTTTTGTTTAGCATTGATTTTATTATTGTTATATTTAAATGTTAACCATGGCCCACCATATTTTGCTCGACTCTATCAATTATTTAGTTGTTTTTATACTTCACTATTCTTATTTTGGATTATTTTCGATATATCTGGCTTAGTGACGTAAAATATCGAAGTTTATACTAAAGTGGTGCAGTAGTACAATGTTTTATATATTTTATACTGGTTTAAATTAAATTATTTCTGCTTTTTTTTTCTAAAATTAGCCAATATTTTATCGATTTTTATCTTATTCTTTTTATTATTTTTATAATTTTTCACGTTCAAATGAATTTCATTTCATTGAAGAGGCTATTTTATTTTAGAGGATCTCGTTCAAACTTACCAAAGAAGGTTGATGCATGCGTATCGATCCAAATTTGTGGACAATCAGGTTCTCTCATGCGCAGCAAATTGCAACATTTAGCAAATTCAAATGTTGGTTTTCATTATTTTTTAAAATAATCGTAAAGCTTTACGAGGTTCTAAGAGATAGTCTCAAATTCTTTAAATGTCTAGTTTTGCTATTGAATACCTTTATTGAATATCTTTAAATTTATGCTTAGACGTTATTGCTAGATTATTGTTTAATTTAGATTTTAACAATATTTCTTGTAGGCTTATTTATTTTTTATTTTTTTCACGTAATTAACTCAAAAATCATCAGTTCATTCAGTTTTGGCGTTCGATAAAAAAAAAAAAAAGGAAGAAATTTCTCTCGCACGCGACTTGTTTAAGCGATGCGTTTCACACATCTCTTCATTTTATTTGTTCTCTGTTCTACTGGAAATTCTTTAACGAAAATATTGTTAGTCTTAGCTCAATAGATTATTGAAATTCTTCTCGAAAGATAAGTGGAAAAGTGGAAAAGCAAAAATGAAAAACGAAGAATTGAATACGGGAGAATATAAAGATTTTCTGAAAAATAAAAGCGCAATGGTTAGTTTTCTTTTCGTTTTCCCCTTTTTTTTAAAGATTTTATCTAAACAATTAGTTGTCATTATTCACTGTTGGAACTATTTGATAGGTTTTCAATGGTTCGTTTAGTCGAATTAATAAATTTTTTTTTCAATTTTTAATTGCCGCGATTAATAAATTTCTTTTCTATTAATTTTACAGGGTTCTGTATTGAATTTCATATTCCATCGTTCCTTTTCAATTATAAAATTTTGTAAATTTGATGAAAATTTTCGATTTTCTTAAAAAAATACATATTTAAAATACATATTCATGTATTTTTGAAGGTTTTTTAAAATTGGTTTTGAAAGACTAACGCGATTTTATGTATGTAATGTGTGTTAAGCTCATTGCTTTTTCATTCCATGTGAGTGGTACGGGTTTTTTTCGATTTCGAATATCCTCGAATAGAGGCTTGGCAGGTTTGGAGGTTTTTTTTGCGGTATCTTGGCTCTTCCTAGCAGCATAATATTTCGAACAGAGGTGTCTCACGTTGTTTCTTATTGAAGCCACTTTTCCGGCTTGGGAATCATAGCCTTTTCCATCTATCACTATTGAGAAAGACCTTATCTTTCCGGATTGGAATATGATTCTTATATTCTTATCTACTGGAATTTTTTCCTTGCAAGTCTTAATTTTTATTTCATATGCGTCATGCATTATCGATTATCCCACTCTGTTATTCTAAATTAATTCAAAATTATGTTTATTTTTTTATTAGTAATTTATTGCTTTCGATTCATATATATGGTAAAAATTAATTTTGGCCGCGAACGGTCGTTCTTTCAACGGTCTGTGAATTAAATCTGATTTATATGGAGCGGTTAATTTTCTTTTTATTCATTTTCATTTTTTTTCTATTCTTCTTCTTTTTTACTCTCTTTTGATGATGAAATTTTTTTATTTTGTTTTATTTTTTATTTAAATTGGCTTTTTTAAATTGTTACTTTTGAAATAATGTAAAAAGAAGAAAATTATTATTCATCTATCAATATGGCCTTATCAATATTTTATGAGATTTGGAAATGGGTCTCCAAGAATGCATTCGAATTTCACTTTTAATAGTAGATTTATTCATATAAAGATGGTCGAATTCGTGGTAAGAAGCGATAGGTGTTCCTTTCAAGTTCCATCGAGATTATGGTTAGGCTATTGTATGACGATTTTCATAATTGTGAGTAATTATGACAGTTTTTTATTTCTGTATATGCTTCGGTTTACATTGTTGATATAGCGTCATTCATGCGTTGAATTGTGTAGATATTATTCTATATTATTCAGTGTTTAATAATTTTTATATTTACAGATGGGGGGTCTACCAATTCCTGGGGTTAAACATCGGCAAAGAATTATACAACATCGCAAAAGAAATGAACGTGAATCAATTAAGCGCCTACAGAGGCATCGAGCTACGTCGCCATTTCCTTCAACATCGCTTGATGAAGATGCAACAACAGGTTATTTGCAGTTTATAAATAATTTACGAAATTTTCAATTTATTTAATAAAATTATTTTTAAGATTATTTTTTAAGGATTTCAATAGTTTACTCGATTTCTAGCTCCATTAATTAACTCGGCGTTGGATTTACCGCCAGTGATAGAAGTGAAGGTTTTGCGTTCGTCGGAAGGCTTGATTATTGTTGAATATTCGAAAGATGATATCAATTATACGGGTATACTTCTGGCCGAGAACACGTTAGTTATTATCACATATTGTATGTTTATTATCGTCGGAATACCAAACTTAAAGAAAATTCCACGGTATTTCGCATATTTTGCGAGTAGGAAGTTATGCGAATGCGTTATAATTATAATGATTAAAATAAGAGAAAAATTTTATCGAAAATTTATTTAAAGCATTTTCAGTGTCGGCGGTGCGCCAGGAATAATGCGTGAAGAGATGTCAAAATTTAGAGAAACTATAAATTCTTACGTAGATTCACCAGCGATAGACCAGTGGACTTCTGTTCTTGCTGAAAGATTTACTCCTGGTTTTCAGCTACGCGATCGTTGCTTTATGCGTACCTTTGGTCGTATGGTCTGTGCTGCTTGTATGGCACCAGTACCAGATAATGAAGCGGTAATTTTCTTTCATTTCCTTTATGAGTATTAAGGGAGGAAGATTTCGCTTATCATTTTATTGATTATTGATCATTCTATTACTTCTAATTTATTCAGTGGTAAATAGTTGGTTTGATTCAAAGTATCTGAAATGTTTAAGGCGATTTTTTGATCCTTTTTATCAGATTTTTAATTCGGTTTATGCAATTACAGATCCCTCGACGGCATTTTACGAATCCTAACGCGAGAAAATTACTGTGTAAGCCACAGCATAGGTATCAAGTTGTCGCGCAAATGTCATCGCCTCCTGTTAGTCGAGAAAACAACTGCTCGATAAATTCCACCGCAAATTTGCAAGTATTGTTTTTTATACGATTTATTGACCTTCTACATTTTATATATGGTCTCATTTATCATTTTAAAAATCGAAAATTTGTTGAGCAGAAAATTTTTTAAAAAAAGGTCTTCGATTGAAATTCCATGTAAGAGGGCAAAATTTGATGCTTTTTGTTTTTACAGGAAATTATATTTATATTTCAGAATGCAAGTGGGATCGATGATGCAAATGAAGAAAATGAGAATAGACAAATGTCGTCAAAGGTTTTCCACGCTGCCCATCATTTAAATGAAGAAGAAATGAATAAATCGAAATCAGATAGTGGAAGTTCTGTTGAAGAAAACATTTATCAAGATGGATTATATTCACCTGGACCATCTGGTATAATTTTATTTTAATACCAGTCCTTTTGTTTCTTTGCTTATGAATCATCTTTAATCTATTGTTATCGATCCGCTAAATGGAAAAGTTGTAGGCAATATTTGTAAGTAAGTAAAATTATAAAATATTTGCAGATTTGGTGAAAGAATATGGCCAGTATGGCGAAACAAGCAAGGTATAATTAGTTATTCTTGAAAATCTATTCCAAAATATCGTTATATCTTTATTAGCATAAATCTTAAATGGTACTTTAAAATAAAAAATTCTGTTCAGACGCATTATGGAAAAAATGCAATAACACCTTCATCGATAAAAACGGAAGATATTGCTGAGTATTCAACGAATGTCTCGCCGACGAAGATTGTTGCTGATACAGAAACGAATCAAATGCGGTTTAATTGTGAAACGCTTTCTCCTGCATATATCATCCGAAAAAGTGATGGCAACGCTCTTCATATGACTTTTGTTCGGCAGTCAAAAAGTGGCATTTCTGGCGATCAACGGTATTAATATAGCTAATATTGAGGAAACACGATGTGAATTTCGAATTTTAATATTTTTAAAATTTTAAATAAAGCGACATTGCACAGCATTTAAAAGTTCTTTAAGGATACAACGGGACTGTAATGAAGGGGATTCAAAGGCTGGCACAGCTACAGCTCATATACATCAAGGTGCTCCACTTCTTGTTACTCGAGATACATCGCAGATTGTTTCACCACGGCCAAATTTATCTTTTCACTCTTCCGAACAGCCAATGCTGAATTGTGTTTCGGAGAGAAAACTATCTGCACTCAGGTAAAGTGTTGTTCCGTTTGCGTTTTTGCGTTTTCGCGTTTTCCTTAATTCTATAGCCTTTTTTTCTCAAAAATGGATATATTTTAGTTTTTCTGGATCAAGCGTTATGAATCGAGTCGGATCTAAGCCTTCGGTTTCGTCAGAAAAATCTATAGTTCATCCTAATCTGCCATCGTTTTTATATGGTGAACAAAGTGGTAACTGTTCAAGAAAATTTTCAAATATGGTGGCACAGTCAACGCACAGTGAAGAAATAATTAAAAGAAAGTCGAATTCTATTTGTTCACCGCAAGACATATTGTGCTTACAGGAAGAGAAATCGGATAAACAAATGCCATCATCTTTAAGTTCTGGCCATTGTTTCATTTCCAACCAAATCACTGAAACTGTGCCACAGAATGAAGGAATCAGATCGTTATCAAACAATCAGGAATATCCTCCGATAAAAATTATTCTGAAGCCAGTTCAAAAAAATTTGCCGTCTCACCACAATAACTTTGATTCACCATCCATCGCTATAAACAATGGGAGCGCAATAGAAATGGAACAGTCAACTCGACAGTATGGATGCCCACTCATGGTATAGGCACTTCTACTAGCTTATCAAAAATCCCAGCCAAAATTTTTCTTAGAATCATTTGAAAATTTTTGAATTCAACTTCGAATTCAACTTTTTGTGTGAAAACTATTTTGTTTTTAAAATGGTTAAATATTTGAATAATCACATTTAGACTGTGGATTGTATTGTTTTGGTAAATTTCAAGTGCGGTAAATGTGGGAAATATTTTTTATTTTTCACTTTTTTCCTTTTATAAAAATCTTTTTTCAAATTTCCAAGTATTATAGAACGATGGAAGAAATAGAAACGATGGAACAAGCATTCGAAAATTGAGAAGATTACCGGTAAGAGCTAAGCAGTTCAGTGGATTTGCAGATTTGTCATCAAAAGTAAAAAAATATGATACGAGAATAACCACAAATTCGGACGTATTTAACTGGCCAGATAATGAGAATGATGATAACGATGAAATTATACCAACGAAGCAAGAAAATCCATTAGGATTGGTTCCTGAAGATGTAGTTTGGGCAAAAAATCGTACTGAAGCTTTTTGGCCTGGTCGTCTCCATGGATTTACTAGAGAAAACGGTAAAATTGGTGCTTCTATCGTGTGGTTTGGTGCCGATACATATTCACCATTCATTGAACTTGTTCGCATTGAACGTTTCACAGATGCATACGGAATAAGGTATATCATAGAAATATTTTATAATTATATGAATTTCAAAGCACTGATTCTTTTTGAATTAATATTACGTAGTTAATATTCATCATTTCTGGCTAGATTTGTTCTACTGGCCTGTATGATGTGGGATGAACAGGTCATTTAGAAATGATAGAAATGTGAATTGGTCCTCAACAGGACGAATTTTTTCCCTCCTGGATTTTTTCTCTTTTGAAGGTCTCTTTTGAGTTCAAAATCTAACGAAAATCTGAGCAACAATAACTATGGTGTCATACTTCCAATTTACATTATGGAACATGAATAATCTTTTCTGAATTTCCTATTTTCAGTAATATCTTGGTTCTTTTGTTTAATTTTAAATAAGAATTATTAAAATAACTATAGCTATAGTATTTCCTCATTTTCTTGAATTTTAGGTTTAATCCAAAGCGTGCTGAACCAACTTATCATAGAGCAGTTGCTGATAGCATTATTGCCAATCTTCCTGCAAAAGGATATTTCGAGCAAAAACTTTCCCCTCAAGTATTCAAAATACTTTTAAGATCACGTAAATTTGATCTCAGAAATGTTAAAGTAATCACTAAACGTCGCAAGAAACCTGCCGCTCACGGCCCACCAACCAAAAAAAGGTAAATTTATTTACGAAATTTAGATTTTATAAACTTAGAAATTCCTTAATCCTTAATCTCTTCCTTATGGCTTTCCAACGTCCTTACTACAGTACTGCCTTATTTTTATCTTTTAATCATTTATAATTTGTTTAGGCGATCAGTTGTTAGAAAATCTGCAAAGTTTGGATCGAGTGCTTCTCATATTTTAAGTACTGAAACAGGTTTATATGATTCAATCGATCCAATGCAAACAGATGCTAGAGCAAGTTCAAATGATGAAAATTGCTCGGATGATGATCAACGACTCGTTATTGCATATGATTCAGATGAGCTTTGATTTCTTCATTGTACATGATTTATGTAAATTATTATAAAATTGCTCAATGCGATTTTTTTTCGGTTAGGAATTTTAGGTATTCGGTGCGATTTGTTTGTGATAATTGCAGAAGGTCTTATATCTCATATTATTTTTTTGTTTTAAGCATATTTATTATTATTTATGAAAAGATATGCATTTAACAAAAATCAATCAATCATTCATTCCCTTTTATGGCTCAATTAGCTATTTGTTATATGTTAAATATAATATTTGTTATTTTAATAAATAAAATAATGAATTTCAACGGTTAATTTTCATGAAAGGGCTACATAATTGGGAAAGTAAGTAAGCGTTGACCGTTCATTCAGAAATTTTTTTTATCTGTTTTGCATCATTCCAGTTCATTTCATTTTGTAATGAATTTTAAATGTTGATATGCTCATTTTTTTTTTTGAAAATTTGAATTGCTTAAAAGTTTTTTTTTTCTAGAAAAGCAAAGTTGATTTAAAAATTTTAATAAGTTTTAGTGAATATACAAATTTTTAATAATAAATAAATTTTTCTGTTAAAAAAGTTTTTTTAGCAAATTATTGTTTTTTTGATTGCGCGAAAAAGTTTATTTTGGACGACTCAATCGCTGGGATTTTAAAAAAAAAAAATTGAAGATTAACGATGGTCACCAAAATGGGAAAAAGATTTCTCTGAAATGAGATTGGAAATTCGAGTTTCGATTATAAGATTTCTGCAAAAGTGGACTGTTAAAATTTGGCGCATTCACATGGGCATTTTCTGGTTTTTACCTGGTTTTCTTCATGAATAAGAACGTTCTTTCTGAATCTCTAATACTGTTGAAGCCAATAAGGAAATCAACTGATGCCACTCACTTTTGTACTATAATTTTTATTAACTTTCTAAATTGTATGATTAAATAATATTGATAATAATAAAAATAATAAATAATATGATAGTAATAGTAACAATAATTATTATTATTATTATCAATAATAATAAGAATAATGATAATGATAATAGAAGTTATCAGTGATAACAGTAACAATAGCTAGAAGTGAAATAATTATAACAATGATAATAAAATGATTAAATAATAACGATAATAACAGACGAGTGTAGCGAGAGAAGGTTGTACAGTTTAACAAAAATTTTTAGATGCGCTAGTTATAGGAAATAGTTAATTGAGTAACACCAACCGGTTTATATGTCCTTGTCTATTCCGATTTATTCGAATCAATAGATTCGTTAATCTTGTCATTCGTTAACTGCTACTGAGCAACAACGATCATCAGAAACGATCTGTGCTACTTGCTTATTTGCTATTGCTGTCGGTTACTGTTGGTGTTGGTGCTGCTGTGATGCACGCAAACCAACTCTTTTTATACATTTGCTATAAATTTGGCACTCTTTCTGCTATTCTGTTACGAATTGACGTACGCATTGATTTGACCTCAATGACCTTCAGTAATCGATTATTATTATTATTATTATTATTATTATTATTATTATTATTATTATTATTATTATTATTATTGCAGTTAACTTAACTGTTTATTTATTTTTCTTCGTTAAACTTCAATAGTTCCACTTTTATTCATCAAAGAATTTTCGCTGATAAATTTTTCGTCGTGCTTCTTTTATGGCTTCTTTTTTTTGGGAAGACAGGGGAAGAAACAATATTTCAATTGGTGAAAATATTGCTGAAATGGAATTTACTGGTTTCACTGGGCACACAGTTTAGTCATGCTTTGCTATGTCATGACTAGAGGTGTACTCAGCGATGCCATAGAATTATTTTTTCATTCCTTTTATCGCTTCCTCACTTGCTATTATTATTAGATTTATAATTTCATTTCGAGGCACTTGGATCTGTGAATGAAACAGTAGCAATCTAGCAACATATATGTATGTTTTTTCGTTACTATCAATTTTATAGCCACTAAATTTTGTATTAGCAACAATAATCATGGGCCTATTTCATATTGATAAAAATAATCACGGGCCTATTTCATATTGACAAAAATAATCACGTGCCTACTTCATATTGACAAAGATGATCACGGGCCTATTTCATATTTGTAATGGTGGTCGCAGGCCTTTTTTCTATTGATAAAAATGGTCTATTCGATATGATCACAAATGGTGGTAGTAAATGATATAATAAAATGAGCGATCATATTTAATGTTACGTCAGATCTGTTTGATATCGTCACCCAGTAACGACGTGTTTATTTAAAAGTTGCGTGGTATTATTGCCAACTGAAATTGATCTGACGAGGAAAGCTCTTATGTTCCCATTACGATTTATAAGTGCCTTTCGATCTGTTATATCCCACGAATTTCGAATGTGATAGGGTACGTGTTGAAGAAATACGAAATATTTATATAAATAATTTCAAGGTATTAAACTTCTCGAATTTCTGTTAACTGGTTGGTACTTACGAATTCTGGTTAGACTCGCTACACTGGCTGCTGGTACGGTAACTAATTCACTTTAGATGAGAAATGTTAATTGGTCGCCAGTGGATTTTTAAACGGCACATTGAAAAACGAGGTTGACCTACTTTTCTTCTACTTTTCTTCTACTTTTCTTTCCTTGGCTAGCAATAAATGCTTTGTAATTATGTGAGTAATAATGCTGTTAAGAGTGATTTTCGGATGATGCTGATAAGCGGCTGATAACTTATCTGTTTACGCCAAATTAAATTTTAAAGATTTGCGCAAAAAATTTAACGAATAGATTTCTAACAAAAAAATATTAATTTTTTTGGGAAATTTCGAGTATTTTTTGCATTTAATAAAATTGTTTTATTTTTTATCAAATTCTTTTGTTCCATATAATTGCTCATTTTGTCAGTCATCTTGCAATAAATTTTCTTTTGATGAATCTTTCTTTATTCGCCGAAACAGGAATTTTAGTGTACAACAAATAAATATGTAAAAAATGTGTATATATATTTGCTTGTCGAAAATTTCTCTCATAATTTCTCTTCATTTCTGAGCACTTTAAATAGGAAAAATTTATGAAAAGCTAGCTGATATCATTATTCAGCTAAAAATTGGATTATCAGCGAACAACGAATTTGAAGGTAAGGTTATAAATGGAAAAACCGAATAATTCAAACCAGTGGTAATCAACTTATCAATATAATCAATAGCAATCAATTAATGAAGAATGAGCACTGATAAAGGAAACAACCATCAATTCAAAAGTAGTCGCTTGATGCAACATTAATAGCAACGAATGTGATCGAAAGATTCAATATGCCAATAGATCAACGACATCAGCAATGAAACTAGTCGAAAAAGAGCCACGAAAAAATCAGCCATGAAATTACGATAACAACATTTTGCAGCTCAAGGAAACAATTCAAAAGGTCTCGTGGTAGAAGCCAGAAACAAGGCAAGGAAGGACAGAAGGTGCGCCGACCTTAAAAATAGCTTTCGCATTCGCCGTTCAGCGACAATTCGGCGAGATAGGTGCATAGAATATCTTCAAATATGAGATTTAAAAAAAATTTTGGCATAAAATCGCTTATTTAACAAAAAACGAGGCTTCGAATTTTTTTATGAAAAACAGCTAAAAATTTCTGATTTTAATATTGAAAACTATTTTAAAATTTTCCTAAATTCTTGAATTTTAATTTTTTATTCCATAAAATTCGTTTTATGAATATTTTTAAATTTTTTTAAATTTTAATATTTGTAATAATTCATTCCGAAAGTTATTTTCATTTAATAAAATCATTATTCATTAATCGATAAAGCGATGAATAAATATTTTTTAAAATTTCACATAAAATAAAATTATTCGTATATTTTTCAGATTTTCTTAAAGATTTGATAAATTTGAAAAATTTAAAAAAAAAATTTTTCGAAAATTTTCTAATATTTGTTGTTTAGTTTTTATAGTTAAATTGATACATATTTTTAATATTTAAAAAAAAGTGGTTCATTATAAATTAATTATTAATTGGAGATAAGATGGCTCAGTGGTTTGTTGCTCAATCGCGGGCGCCGATGCTGAGGTTCGATTCCCCGCAGGAGCAAACCTGTACAAAAATCCGTTGTGATGCTGGCGACTCACCTGTATTTCTATCGCTAACGGATTCCCTGGCATATTGCTGAGTTCGACAAGCCAGTGGAGCGAGTTCAACCAGTAATGGTGAAAACTGGTTTTAAAAAAATTATAAATTAATTATATAATAAAAAAAAATAATTAAAATTTTATAATAAAAATTGTAGTTTTGATTATCGTTGATTGACTGCTTATAATTAATAAAAAGTTTCGCGAACACAAACAATAAAATATAATCAAATAATTATTAGTTGTAAGAAAATAAAAATATTTTAAAATTTTTTTTAAAAAAGAACTGAAGCATATACGTTCTTACGAACGATCAGAGTTCGTGAACAGAGTTAGAATGAGAAGATTTTGATTTTGCTTAAATATTAAAACTATTAAATATTTTTACTTATTTACTTATTTCAAATGTATTATTTTTTATGAAAAAAATTAGTGAAAGTCGCAAAATATTTATTGGTTGGAAAATAATTTGTTTCATATTTTAAAAAAAGATTTGATATGAAATATACTTGAAAAATGAAGCGGGATTGTGAATAATGAATAAATTTGGCAAATAAAAGAAATTCAGTTTTTCTTCTAATAATTTCAATAATTCCAAGTGACTGTCGGTGACTAACGTTTGACCCTCTGGACAAAGAGTAACCTGTTGCCTATTACCTATTCGTCTAGGATAGGCAAATCTACCACGAATCGTATGCACTACTGAAAGAGAATTGAAGATTTATCATAACTGCTAAATCTAATTCTTTAGATAATTTTCATCAAACGCTTTCCATGAATAATAAATATTTTATTGCGATTATGATGTTTTTAAAAAATATTTTTACTATGATATCAGTTTAATTATCACTTTTCGCGTGCTATTTGATTGATAAATGAATAATTTAAAAAGATTTTATAAAATTGCTTAGCCTTTTAT